TGGTGGAGGACCACAATAGATAAATCTTCCCTGAGGAGTTATTTCATAAAATCCTGGGTGAGGTAAGGGTGGTTCCCTGTTGTAATGACCCCCCAGATGGGAAGGTCTTGCAGAAGAGGCTGTCTTAGCCCTTTTAGCTCGTGCACGTCTGCGCATCCTCGCAGAGCACGACGAATCAGAGCAGGAACTAATTAAAGAAGATGAAGATGAGGAGGAGGAAGAAGCGCTGGAACTGGAGCGATCCCGGCATCTTCTCTTGCTCTTGCGGGAAGGGGCACGCGCGCGGCGTCGACTCGGGGCCCCAGAATCTTGCATTCCTGATGTTGAAGGGAGCGCCGCATCGGCGCGGCGCCGAGCCATAACCCCAACGCTCGTGCCTGCCGATGAAGCGAGCGTTGTCTCTGAAGGGTGAGCCGCATAAGCAGCTTGCCTTTGCTCCTCCTCTAAGGCAGTCCCTTGGGTCGTGGGAGGAGCCGGCGCCGAGAGCGTCGGCATCGGAGGCGTGACTCCGGTTTCCTCCTGCGCACGCGTGGGGCGTGTCTTAGCCGATCTCAGCTCTCTTTCACTATCGTCATCCTCCTGGGCTCGCGCGTGGCGAGCGGAGGTTACTGCTGGCTCCTCAGCAGTATTGCAGCCACGTGGAGGGGTTTTCCTTCCCATCTCGGCCGAAGAGACCAGCTGAGGAACTGCGGCCGCGGTTCCAGCAACCTTCTTGGCCGACTTAAGTACTATATTCTTCGACTTCTTCACTCTTTTCGATTGGGACGCCAGACCAGGTAGGTTCTTGACTTTGGGCTCAGTTGATTTCAGAGCAACGGGGAGAAGTGCCCTTTCATAGAGGGCAGCCTTTAAACGAATTCCCCTGTTTTTCCGTGTTTGTGGGGTGAAGGACTGGCATATGGAACATGCTTGTGAAAGATGTCCTTCGCCCAAGCAGGCGATGCACAGCGAATGTGCATCATTATCAGGGTAACTGCTCTGGCAGGCTGAGCAGCGTTTAAAACCTTTCGTAAGGGACATATTCAAATAATTTTTAAGTAAACCGGGTCTGAAGCAGGAAGATCCGGGTGTTGCTGCTTCTTGGCGCGGATGAAGAGATCTGGAGGCGGTTGGCCAGCCGCGGGCTATTTATGCTATCTTGGGGAGTGTGCGCGGGGCCAACCGCTTTTCTTTTGAATTTTAACTGAAGATTCCGGAATGAGGCTGCGCATGCGCAGAGAGAGTACCATTAGTGCGCATTCACAGCACAGACACGTAGGGAAAATAGAGAAGTATTGGACGAAAGTACATGAAGAGCTACAATTTTTTTTGAAGAGAGTCTTTAAGAAGAAACCAGAATATTATCTATTGGGATTTACAGATTTGGAATTACAATTAGATGAGAACGAAGATAGACTATTTACCTATGCTACAACAGCGGCGAGAATATTATTGGCGAAGTTTTGGAAACAGGAAGATATCCCTACCACTGAAGAGTGGTTAGGGAAATTAAGAGAAATAAGAGAAATGGACGAATTAACTTTTTTCTTGAAAAAGAATACCGGGAACCCGATAAAGAGGACAGATTGGACTCTATATGAAAACTACGAAAAGGAAATAAATAAATAAGAGGAACATTATGAAGTGGATATAATGGAAAAATCATTGAGGACACAACACCTGATGGAGAGATGGAAGTCAATTTTTATTTTATTTTTTTCTATTTTTTCTTTCGTTTTTTTTGTGTGTCTTTTATATTTTTGTATTTTCTGGTGGACTTGGGGGTAGGGGGATGTACTTCTTACTTTTTTTCCTACTTTCCTATCATCTTTTTTAATATTCTCCCTCTTTTGATGTTATTCTTAAAATCTTAATAAAAACTATTATTAAAAAAAAAACTGTAGTTGCATCTGATGATGCCACATCCAAGATCCTGGCCCAATTGCTAGACCCACAGAGATCTGCAGTTAGGAGAAGGTTGCAAATGTCATACCCCAATGTCCATTTTCCAGCATCTTGGAAGTGCTTTGGCCAAAGCATTGTCAGGATGCTACATCCCATCTCGAAGTTTAAGATATTCTGCGGAGGCCCTGCTCTCGACCCCGCCACTGTCACAAGTGAGGTTGGCGGGGACGAGGAGCAGGGCCTTCACGGTGGTGGCCCCCCACCTGTGGAACCCACTCCCCGGGGAGATTAGATCGGTGACTTCCCTTCTGGCGTTCAGGAAAAAACTGAAGACCTGGGTTTGGGACCAAGCCTTTGGACACTCTGGCAACTAAATTAAGGATCTGACGATAGACAAGACAAATGGAATGGAATGGATATATGGACTCTGAACCCCGAGCATGAGATTGTTTTAATATTTTATTATGTATTGATGTTTTAATTTAACTGTTGAATTGCTTTTTGTACTTTGTATTGCTGTCAATTGATTTAGGCATCTAATTGTGCCTCCTCTGTAAGCCACCCTGAGTTCCCCCCGGGGTGAGAAGGGCAGGGTATAAGTAAGTGAAATAAATAAATAAATAAATAAAAAAGCACCCTATGTGTGGGGGTGTGTGAGTTATATCTAGTCATAAGTATGAATCACTGATACTTAAAACCATCTTGTAATCTCATAACAGCTAACAGGATGCCAGCTGGTATTCCTATAGCAGAATGCCAATGATAAAAAAAAACAGAAGACACTTTGCATGGCAAGGGAATAGATATGGATATTATTGTAGACCTATAGATATTATTATAGGCATATAGACATTATTATAGGCATATAGACATTCATATCTACATATCTATTGACATGTAGATATTGTTGTGATAAATATATAGATATCATAGACATTTATTATTATTATTATTATTATTATTATTATTATTATAGACTTATAGATGTTATTATGATAGATATAGATATTATTATTGTAGATATTATAGCCCAGGGTTGCTATAGAAATGGATGGTGTGTTTTGATTGTGCCTTCCTGGACAACCTTTCCTAACTCACAGAGTGTGCATTTCCTGTTTTTGTCCTTTCTTTGAATACTGGACTTCATTTCCCAGATTTCCTTCCCATAACTCAGTATGGGTGAGCTTTCTGGGAGTTGAAGTATGTAGAGATATGTGTGTGTGCATAAAGGTGTGTGTGTGTGTGCCTACACACATACACACACAGAGAGAATCCCTCCCATGTGAGTTCCCAGAAGCCCGGTGAGGCACCTCCATGCTGCTGTCAGGAAAGGAAAGGAAGCAGAGGGGGTGGATCTGAAGGAGGGTGTCCTCTCTCACTCCCTCTCCCTCTCTGAATCCTTTGGGAAGAGAGAGGCAATGGGTAGCAAGAGGGATATACCTGCCAACTTTCCCTCCCTCTCTCAAGCAACCTCTCTCTCAGCTATTTTTTTCCTCTCGTTCAGGAGTGAGGGGCAGGGTGTGTGTGTTGTTTTAACACATGTTCTGTATAGCCATTTTTAGCTTCATGGGGGGTTTAAGTTCTTTCCGGTTAAATTTTTTTTTGAGTGAAGGACATGCATTGCTTTAGTTGGTGTCTTGTGTCCAAATTTAGTGTCAATTTGCCCACTGGTTTTTGAGTTCTGTTAATCCCACAAAGGAACATTACATTTTTATTGATATAGATGCTTAATGGTTACATGAGATCAACTGCTTGCACAACTATGTTTCAATATGAGTTTAATTCACTCTATTCCTTTCTTTTTAACAAGTTTCTTTCCACAGTCCCTATTTCCTTGCTTCAGGCTCGATACTGAAGTCACACATAAATTGACTGGGAACTACTTTCTTCTGGCATTCAGGCCCAACTATAGTATAGAGTTAAATACCTCTTTTTCTTTAAAACACCACGTTAAATACTAAGCACTTGGCCCACTACCTGGAGCCTCTTTTTTCCTACTGACTCCCTGTCAGAGGCCTAAACAACTTGGACTAACTCCACATAATTAGGATCAACCATCCTCAGGTTCCTTCAGCCATCAACTCTCCCCTTTTAAACCAACATTCTCTTTTCTCCAGTGACAGTTGGCTCCGCCCCTTTCCTTCTGCCAGGTGGATAGGTTGTTATGGCAACGCCTGGGGCTTCTGGTCCCCTCTCAGCTAATATTAATAAACATAACTAAAACTTACACTTGAATTGGGCACTTCGTTACAGCTACATAGGCTGGATTGTAAAATCTAGTTTGCGAATGTGAGATTCTTTTGCATGATTTTGTCCATCAAAGAGAAGGAACAGGATGTTCTGCTGAGTGCCAACTACTCTCAACTTGCCAACACATTTGGGCTCTAAAGCGTTACAGACACTGCCAAAATGCCTTTATCCGTTTTGGTTTTTGCAAAGACTCGGATTTTTAAAAAATCTAGACGAGATATATATGGGTTGCAATTCAGCAGGGTGTTGTGTAACATGGTGCTTACAGACCTACACTAGTCTGAACCATTTAACCTTGCCAATCTTACCATAAGCTTTGATAGTGTCCCTTCCCCACAGCCTCATGGGGAGCGGGCAATAACAGAGAAGTGTCTAGCTATGTTCCTGTGGCTAGATGCAAAAATAATTAAGAGTAGTGAGATCAGTGCTGTTATAATTTTCCATCTGGCAGCAGTGGCACAGCTAGACACATCTCTGATCCTGCCTGCTCCCCACAAGTCACTGAATGGCCACATAGAGAGAAGTGGTTCTCCACCTGTGGGTCCCCAGGTGTTTTGGCCCAAAACTCCCAGAAATCCCAACCAATTTACCAGCTGTTAGGATTTCTGGGAGTTGAAGGCCAAAACATCTGGGAATCCACAGATTGAGAACCACTGCATTAGAGGATGAACACAAAGCCCCAAGGGCTTTGTCCATTGTGGAGGGATGAAGAGAATTTTGACCTCTACAACAACCAAAAAAACAAGACATGCTACAAGTTCAACTTACACCATCACAAACCACTAACAAGGTGTCTCCCTTAGTCTATGAGCAGTGGGCACACCCCCTCAGGAGGCAAATCCTTTGGCAGTGCTCTTATTGCTTACCTTGGACCTGGAGATGAAAAGGAAGCAGCCAGCCAGCAGCAGCCCCTGTAGTGTGGCCTGGAAATCACTGAACTTCACCCCTTCCAAGTAAAGGACGCTCTGACTGTAGGCCAGGATGAGTGCATTCAAGGCCAAGATCTTGAACATCTGGAGTGTGGTGACCAGGGTGCAGCGGCCCTGCTTGATCACGTGGCAGACTGCAGAGAGAAAGAGAGGGTGCCTCTGCTTGGATCTGCCTCCTTCAAGCTGGGTCTAGCACTTCCCCTGGACTTTACAGGAAGAGCATCTTCCACTACTGGTCATCCTTACCACTTTAAGGGGGCAGATCAGTCCCAGTCCCATTCTACTTCAGCTACAATCAGAACAGGGCTGTTCCAGTTCTGGCCATTTGGGCCTTAAGGATACTTTCTAAGGAAAACATTTTATGGTTTTGGGTGAGGAGACTTTTACTTCCATTATGCCTTGCTATTTAATGGAGACAGTCTTGCTTGTAATGTATTGCAGTCCTAAGAAGCCTGGTGGACTGAGCAAGGGGAGAAGTGTTTCCAGAGCAGAAGGAGGGAACTCATCAAACTTCCCGAATGTGGATGGCTCCTCATGTTTCATTTCATGCCATGAAGGGAAGGGCATGGGGAATGTGATATCATAACTGACTGCAATGGATACAATGCTGGTACAGTATGAAATTCCGGTCCCAGGTTCCCTTCCCTACGTACTGCACTGTATAGAGGAGAGTTTGGAGGTGAAAGGAGCCGCAATGCTGGCATCACCCAGCTTCACAATGGGTGCTTGTTCCTCTTCCAAATCCTTCAGCACTTGACTGATCCTCTCCTATTAGGATGAAGGAAGGGGAGAGAAGAGAATACATTTGTTTAAGACACAGCAAGGCTCCAGATGACCTCCATCACAGATAGGACATCCTCAATCAAGCATGGGCAAACCTCATCCCTCCAGAAAGGATGTTTTAACCTACCCACTCATAGATTTTATAAGATCCAGACATCTCCTTGTTGAGGACTTTCTGCTTTTGATGTTTTGAATAATTGATTTTAATGTTAATATATTTCTTTTTTTAAAAAAACTCTGATTTTTATGTTTTGTACTTCTGGTCTGCGACCATCCAAATAAAATTAATTCATTCATTTAGAACTCCCAGCCAGCTTACTGCTGTTAGAAATTTTGGGAGTTGAAGTCCAAAACACCTGGAGAACTGAGGTATATGGGTTGCTTACCTGTACCTGTAGTTTCCCGAGTGGTCACCTGTGAATTTGCTCATATGGTAGTTTCTGCTCCTGAGCAGACAGCTTCGGAACCTTCTAAATAGATTTGAAAACTCTGTCGGTCAGCCCCGCCCACTCTCCCCTTGCAAGTATAAGTAGCAGGTGGGTGGGGTCACCACCTCAGTTCTTCCGCCGTGGAAGCAGCTAGAAAAACTGAGGCATGACAACAGGGGAGGATGGGAGGGGCTGTGCGAATTCACAGGTGACCACTCGGGAAACTACGGTTACAGGTAAGAAACTCATATTTTCCCATCGTGGTCAACTAAATACACACTTATGGTAGACTAGTGAGCTACTAACCTTGGCTGGTGGGCGTCATGCCACCCAGAAAAAAGGACTGCCCTTCAAAATGAAGCAACCCTCTTGGAAGAGATATCCAGCTTGCAGTGCATCACGAAGGTCACTGGTTAACCTTTGGCACGGTTAGGCTAAGGTTGCCATGCTCCTGCCCCAAAGAAGGGGCTGCTGTTATCTGCAGTGGGGCAGCAGAGGTCCCAACCCTCTTGGGAGGGATTAATCTGGCTTCACTGGAGCCACCATGACCCTTCACCTTCTTCTTTCGTGCTAAAGGTGCCATTTTTTCAATGGCTCTCATTCCTAAGTCATTATTATCATTACCCCCTGAGGGGGCAGAAGCGCTAATAGTGCTTTTGGCCTGGGAGGGAGGGAGTAAGGCTCGCTTATATAGCGCAGCCTTGAGGTGAGACACCCTATTTTTTCTCGTTTGGGGTGTGAACGCCTGGCAGATAGAGCAGGACTGCGATAAATGGCTCTCCCCCAGGCAGAGAAGGCAGAGAGAATGGCCATCATTCTCCGAATAAAAAGCTGAACAAGCAATACAGCACTTGAAGGCTGATGGAGTCGCCATATTCACCTCAAGAAAGTGGATTATTTATCAGTAAACTAAGAGAGAGTCCAGAAAACAGTCAGTGGTCAGGAAGGGAGACAGACGGTCATACAATAGACAATCCAGTAAAAAAAAAAAAACAGGCAGTCCTAAAAGGTATTCGTAAACGAAGGTTCTTTTGTTACTGACAGAGTGACGATCAGAAGAACTGAGGTGGTGGCTCCGCCCACCTGCTACTTATACTCGCAAGGGGAGAGTGGGCGGGGCTAACCACCAGAGTTTTCAAATCTATCTAGAAGGTTCCGAAGCTGTCTGCTCAGGCACAGAAACTACCATATGTGCCTATTCACAGTTGACCACGATGGGAAATTGCCCATGCCTGTCCTAAATGAAAACTACTTTGAAACTACCTTGAAAAGGAGAGACAGCAGAAGATTGACAAAGTACTTCTTAACCTGGGACTGGGAGACTCATTAGCCCTAGACTAGACAACGGTGAAGAATGATGGGATGTGTAGTTTTTCAACATCTAGGGAGTTGAATGATTCCTACCACTTACCATATTTACTTGGGTCTAAGGCTCACTGCTTTTGGCTGAATTCCATAACCAAAAATGAGGTGCACGTTCGTTTCAATGGTGTATTAGAACCATGCACGTAATCCTACCCCATTCACTGCTCTCACTTGTTCATTTTTGACACTGCCTTGAGGGATGTGAAGAGGCTGCACCTTCCCCCTTCTCCCTCTCCTGTCAGGTCAGTCACTTGCTCAAGCAGCTGCCTCACTTCACCCAGCTCCATCTCCTCACCTCAACCCAGCAGCCCGAGAGCATGGCCTGATGGAGTGGTACGGCCCCTTTTCATCTCACCTGTTTCATTGCCTGTCTCCCTGATGCAACCGTGTCTGCTGTGCCATTGGATCTGTAGTTAGACCGGCAGGCAGCCTGAGAAGAGTGAGCAAGAGCGTATGTACCTACCAACTGACTTCATTCACGAGGCTGCCAAACCTTCCCCTTTGGTTTTAAAGGACTTGTGAACAAGGCCAGTTGGGAGCCACACAAGGCTGGTGAAAGTCTACTAAATTTGGGTGCACTACATTCAGCAGCAAATCCCTTTTTTGTAAGGTGCAACTTCAAAACTGAAGCGTGCATTACATTTGATGGCATTCTACCCAAGTAAATACGGCAGTTTAAGGATGTGGGATGGTTTGGAGTAGAGTACTTGCAGCTTCCATTCAATCTATTACACGAGTTTCTTCAGCACATCATCTACTAGTACAAGGGTACCATAGAAGACTCTTTTGTCTCCCTCCCGGCCTTTGTATTTCGCAAGGGGAAAGGCTGAGCTCTGAACTACATGTCAGTCTAACAGTGGAATGGCTGTGGACGATGCTAAGGCACAGACAGCAACTCACCCGCTGCATGGCTAACTGCTCCTCTCTGTGTGACATGACCCTGTGCTTAGCAGCCCGGGAGGTGGGCCTCATGTTGCTTCCAATGGCAGGCAAGGGCAAAGCAGGCTTCCCATCAGAAGGGCCATCACGTAGCCTTTTCTTGCGCTCAGGGATTCGTTCAGGTGCGTTGGCTAACAGGGCCACTCCTGCAAAAATGGATCATGACAATGAAGGCACAGAACACACTAGGAACTGTCAGGTGACCTGTTGTCAGTGGCAGGTTTTGTTTCAACAACACATTCCTGTTCCAAAGGGAACAGGAAGGCAGGAGCATACTCTATAAACCTGCTATGCATACTGGCAAAATCCTATAATGGAATCTAGAAAAGGAAAGAATCACTAGTCTGGTGATTTTACCTAAAAGCCCTATCAAATTTAAGAGAAGGCAGGTGGAATGAAGAAAAATGTGTGAAGACATGGTACCATTTCACTGAGATCAAAAAGCATGAACACAACTCCTAGATGCTGACAATTTTAAGAACGAGGTTAATTTGGGTAAACTAGAATTGATTTGTTTTTCATCAACCACTTTGTTAAATCTGCACAAACATGTAAATAATAAATAGGTGTAAAGGAGAAGATCAAAGTCTCAAAACACTGAGTTGATGTTTTTATATGTGCATGTGTTTTATTGTATTTTATATTGTGCTCGCTCTTTTGTTTTGCACTTTGTGCCGTCTGTAAGCCAGCCCAAGTCTCTTTGGGGAGATGGTGGCAGGATATAAGAATAAAGTTAATAATAATAATAATAATAATAATAAACAACAATCAAACAGATAGTTTTGGTTAGACAGCATATATAAGTTTTTAAAGCTGTAGAGAATAATCAACCTTCCACAGTATTTCCTCCTGCATGAGAAGTAAAATGGCTCTAAAATGTTTACAAACAACACACATGTTATCACTGAAAAATCTAGAATGTGTTTTTAAAAGACTGCTTCACTATCTTCAATGCATTAAAAAACCCTAAAATAAATAACAAGTAATGTGAGTTCTTTGCATTTGGTATCAATCATAACAAAGTACTCCCATTTTAAGAAAAAAGTACTATTCCTTTGGAAGATGTACTGTATTTAATTATAATCTACCTACCTGCCTATCTATACAAAAATCAAAGTATGTATGTAGGATGCTGGAGAAGGGAGAAAGCAGGCCCCTTTGACACCTAGGCAATCCCAGATATATGCCAGTCATGTATAAGTTCAGGAATGTCAGTGAAGAAAAAGTCCTCCAAAACCAGGGTCGACTTATCTACATAAGTATATATGGCATAGTCCTGTCTGTGAGAGATAGGAAAATGCCTCCATGTTTTGGTGTTTACTACCAAAGCCCCCTTTTTGTAAACAAGTTTTATAAACAACAAGTTGTTACAATCCAAGCTCTGATTAATCAGGGCATATTTTTTAGTGAAGTAAAAACTCACCCACATCAGCATGCTTCAGAGCCCCCACGTCATTGGTCCCATCGCCACACATCAGTGTTACATAGCCAAGCCCCTTCAGTGTTGTGATCACAAACTCCTGCAATGGGAAAATTCATAGCCATGGGAGGGGCACTGCAATGCTCTCTGTGAACCGACACTCTCATTGCACTGCTCATCTTAACACCCAATTAGGTTTTAACTACATGGCATCTACTATCTCCTCATTCCACATTAGCAATCAGAGGAAAATGAGCAACAACAGCTAGTTAGTTAGCCTCTTAAATTAAGCAATTTTGAGGCTCACTGTTGGTAGGAAAAAAGGAGGTGGAATTTAGCACATTCAGGCATCAGAAATACGAGAAATGATACTGATTTAGCAGAAAGTCATGAGTCCTCCTAACAATTGTACAAAACTCTGTACATCTATCTGCATGGCATTTTCCCAATTTGTCAGTTGAGTGTTGTATGACCAATGGCACACAGCAGCAATATCCCAACTAAATTTTTATAGTTGGCTACATTCATTTTGTAATCCTGGCCATGGGTTTGTTGAACTTATACTGATGGAGCTACAATGGAATGGGTTTCAATTTTTTTAGTGTGTTTAATAGGATTTTGGTATTTTATCATGCTTTTAGTTGTTGTTATTTTGTTCTTTAAGTTAAATTAGGTTGTGTTATATTGTTGAATGTGTTTATTTTGATGAAATTTGTCTGTATGGTTTTCTTTCTGGCTATTGAATGTTTGCCTTATATGTTGGAAACTGCCCTGAGATAGGGCAGTATACAAATAAAGTTTTATTAATATTTATTATTATTTATTAAAACAACAACGGCAATTTTAGAAAAAGTGCAGTGTGGCTTGCATTCCCAGGAGCTATAATGGCAGATGATGATGATCATCATCATCATCATCATCTTTATTTCTATCCCACCCTTGTCTCCATAAGGACTGAAGGTAGCTCCCAATTACATGACACAACCAAATAAATTTAAAAACAGCAAGCACAAATTTATTTATTTATTTATTTACTTCATTTATATATCGCTTTTCTCCACCCTTAGGCGACTCAAAGCGGTTAACAGTAGCAAAATTCAATGCAAATTAAAAACAATCTAAAAACGATTAACTGTTGGGTAATGGATGTCAGTTAAGAATCAGTTAAGACACAATAAAATACTTGTACAATTAAAATTGCATTTCAAACTAAACTCCACATACACTCCCCCCAGCAGTGTGCCTCCCAGCCTTTCCCCCAAACAGCCTGATGGCAAGTAAATATCTTCACTTGCTTGTGAAAGGCAAGCAGGAATGTGACCATCCTGGTCTCTCTTGGGAGGGAGTTCCAAAGTCTAGGAGCAGCCACTAAAAAGGCCCTTTCCCATGTTGCCACCAGATGTGAGATGGAAGGTTACTGAATACGTTTCTCTGCTGGGGAGCAACATCTGCTGCAAGTCTGAACATCCTAAAATCTCCTCTGGGATAAGGGACCAGTGTATTTGGTCCATGTAGATTACTTCTGTTCCCTTTCATACCTCCCCTAACATGAAAAAGATTGCTTTTCTCTAGTGCTCAGGGAATAATCCTTGTTCTACCCACAATTTATTTATTTATTATTTATTTATTGCATTTGTTGACCGCCGCTCTCAGCCCTGGGGCAATGGCTGAATATAACTATAATTATTGACTGAGGTGCAGCTGGAACACAGAGATGGCAAGAAATGAAGAATCATGATGATGAGACTAGCACCCCTTACCTTCTGCTTGGGTGCAACACGTGCGAAGACTTGCACATGGGGAATGAGCCTCAACAAGAGCTGGGAGTCTGTGGCCTGGAGTTGAGAAAGGCCCTCCCCTGTGACACACAGGTTGTGGCGCTGGATCAACTCCTGCAGAGATGGCGGGATGATTGGGAGCATGATGGAGCCACTGATGGACTGCCACTGCCAGCTGGAACCTGGAAGAGAGAGATTTAGCTAAGAGTGGATGGCGGAGTGTACAAAAAGGCTGCCTGCTTTGCAGAGCTGCCGCCAATGGTGAGAGTTACTCTGGCCTCCTTTTTCACGTGATGTACTCCTGCCACAGCGGACCCAACTCTTTCCCAAAATAGCAAATGCTACTATCTCAATTATAACTCCCACCATCCCTCAGCGCATGCTACCAGAGAACAAATCCTGCACCATGTTTTTAGAACCCACGGTGTTCTGCTGAGAGTTGCAACTGCTCCCTTGAAGCCTTTGTACCTTTGCTGCTGGGTGGTTGCAGAATGAGCGTCTGCTCCTTTTGGGTGAAGTGCAGCTCCTGGGCCACATGACAGGCAGTTAGGGGGTTGTCGCCCGTTATCATCACTACCTGAGAGGGAGGAAAGATAGGTTTATGGGATGTCCTTATAACACTGACCCTTAAAGTGCATCACATAAATTGAACTCGGGATACTGGAAATCTGTTTTAGAAGTACAGTCCACATTCCACAAGATTAGTGGCACAGGAAATGGCTATTTTTACCCCTGGGAGAACACCTCCCTATAAATTTGTAGGTGTTCTAGCATGGTTGTATGATCGACTTCTGCTTGAAACTGACCATAAAATAGCACTGGGTGTTTTAAGAGATTCCTAGGAGTCTCTTAGCCCTCCAGCATAGAGTCACGCTGGAGAACCTTGAGATTCCTAGAGAGAACATTTTGAATCATATCCATGAATTATCAAATCCACAAAGGCCAAAACTGCCAATGTGGAGGGATGACTATACTCCTTCCCAATAGCATTTTTGTTGGATTTGTTCTTAAAAGCAAGCGCAAAGGACACCGTACATCAGAAAAGCTGGAATTTTTGCTTCCTTTTGGAAGCAATTGTATGGCCTACACTACTGAACGCTTCTAACAGTACTGTTTATACCAGTGGTTCTCAACCTGTGGGTCTCCAGGTGTTTTGGCCTACAACTCCCAGAAACCCCAACCAGTTTACCAGCAGTTAGGATTTCTGCAAGTTTAAGGCCAAAACATCTGGAGACCCACAGATTGAGCACCATTGGTTTGTACTCATCTTTCCTCTCTGTTTCCGAAGATAATTTCCTTATAAATATGAATGATGTGACCTTTCATGCTTCAAACAAAGATGAGTGCCACTCTAAACAAAGATGAGTGCCATGCAGGAAAACTGTGCCACTGATATTTTCTTGCTTGCAATCATATCACAGTAACTCTGTATCATGGCCATATATGCCATTAAAGCTATACTTTGGCTGACTATACAAAGAAAGATTAGCCACTAGAAAAGAAAGTGAAGACTCTAGGAAAATGGGAGAAGGAAATTAAAAATCTGAGAACCGGTGAACATGAGTCACGCTCTCTGATTGCTCAGAACTTCAATGTCTGCAATTCCAACAACTTTCATTGGTTTCACTCACATGATGAGAGGCATTCAAGATTTCACGGATAACTGGCTTGGAATCCACTTTGAGGGGGCAAGAGACCACAATGAAGCCCACAAACCGCAGATCGCATTCAAGGGCTTCCCGCTTTATCTCTCGTGCCTTTGGATGGAAAAGAAGAAAGAAAGAACAAGAGAACACAGCCATTGAAAGTTAGTTGTCTCATCTAAACAATTCCCTATAGAAGTTTACATCGTGACCACCATCCAAACCCTAAGCTAACGGACAACAAAATCCAGGAAATCCAGAAATGTTTGAAGACAGAACCAAAGATTTCTTTGGAGAAACATGTAGGGTACAGAAAACTTACTTCAAGCATGTAGAGCAATTTTGGTCTTTGGCCTTTGATAGGCCAGATGATATATGAGTGTATTTATGTACATACTGTACAAACTATATATCGATGGGACTGGTGCCTGTGGTTTCATTTACCTGTGCCTGACAAAGCATGCCAGCTCTAGGCATTTCCCAGGTCCTCCAGTGCATATGGTACAATTCCTCAAGAAGCCACTCATTCAAAATCATCTATTATAGATTATTTTTTCTATCTGCATACTTTATATGTATGCAAATTGTGAACTCTGAAGGCTCTTCCCTTGCATGCTAAAGAGAAGAGGCTTTTGCAACATATTTGGGACAAAAAGGCAGTATGGCCTGGAGCCATACAGGTAATATGGCTCCCTTTTCAGGCAAGCAGTAGAGAGAAATGGCATTTGGGATCCTGCACCTGTGTGCATTTGATAGGACGAGGAGAAAGAGGTTCAATTTTCTCATTTCCTCTGTTTAAGCGGTAGGCATTTAGCCATCACACAACAATGTAAAGGAGTTCTCGGGACCTGGATTCTATTTTTTTCTCCTTGGCAACAGGTTTCTGTTGGAACAAACGATCTTGCCCAGGACAAAAGGGGGGAGTAGGGAATGACACATCTTACCTGCTGATGAGTGAGGTGCCCCAGTTCCTTGTAGCCAAGTGCCAGGACCCTGGCTCCTTCCCGGGTGATCTCTGTGTGGATACCATTGTAGTTACTTGGGCACTGAGAGAACTGCACAAGAACAGAAAGGGAAAATGGGACAGTCATTACAGAATCTGGAAAGTATACTTAGAAGATAAAAACAAAATGAAATCCATTGCACTGTGAAGGACAAGGGGTCACAATGATAAATTACTGTCTGCATAATTGAGTCCAAGGGGTATTAAGTAATCTGACTCCTTCACTGGACAAATGGGGGAAAACCTATGAGCTGCACCATTAAGTAATGGAGGTTGGCCTAGCATTTTTTTTTTTTAAAAAAAACCCAAAATGGCTGCAGGGCAATGGAAAGTGTATTCCAATCACATTGGAAACAATGGTTCGTGCTCTAGGTGACAGTTTTCTGATCTTTCTCCTCTGAACAGCTCATCACACAGTGAAAGTATGACTTAATAGGCCATCTGTGGACAATTATATAGGGTATGTTTACTGGATTTTGTCAGTGGGTATTTTTCCAATTTGGGGCTCAATGGTTCCTCCCATTTATACCACCTTATAGGTATGGCTCTTTGCAGAAAAAGAAAAAAAGATTTGAAGCTTTAATTGTAACTAAAAACTGCGCATCCAAATATGTATCAGCATATTACAACTTACTTCCTATTACTCGATGCTTGGAGAAAACCAACAGTATATAATATCCTTTATTTTGTTCTTCCTGCCAGAGGCATTTCACTGTCTACTGTGGGCTCTGATGCTGGAGAAGTCCTTACCCATGAGCACTTAAACATTTGACAAAGACCCGTTTAACAGCAGCGCTAAGCAATGGTCCAGTATTGTTTCAAAAAATAGACCATATAAAAAAGAATAATCAAAGTGATTGCTATGTCCTCTGAAGGTAGTTAATATGAGCTACTCAGGTTAAGTAAAATTTATATTATATGAAGTATCTGCAGTTCCTACAGCCTATCCTCAGCATTTTTATCATACCCTCCCTAGCTTGGGGGATGAGGCGTCAAACTATGACTAGGCCAACCTGGGACCAAGGCCAGTCACAGTGTGATATGGGACTTCCAAGAGTCCTAAATACTAGGGCACTGGTTTTGCCATGGCCAACCCTGCTCAGGTCATTCATCCCTTGCAAGTGCTGAAGCACAGGCCGATTCCTATGCCAGGGTGAAGACGGCAGACATGTTCAACCGGGGAAGGAAAACGCATCCCCCCTGACCCACTCCGCTCACCATTCCGTGAAGCATCTCCGGGGCCCCCTTCACCGTTGCAATGTAGCACAGTTCAGTGGAGCCGACCTTCTCGTAGGAAGCCAGGACCGACATTCTTTTCAGGGCACTGGCAAAATGAAAGCGCTGGTGAATTTTCAGTCCCTGAGTTTTAATACTTCGGGGGAAAACTTTCTCATCTGGAAACAAAGAGATCGGGAAATCCTGAAAGGGTTCAACAGCACCACAAGCAGCAATCTTCCCCTCTAGGCCCCCTTGCGGGTGGCACAGAGGCTGGGAACCATTTGGCAGAACCAGTTTTCTTGGTTCCTCAGCCAGGGGACATTTTGGGGCAGGGTGCGAGTCATCTCTGTCTAGGTGTTTAACAATTATAAATGCCTTGGCTACCTCTTCATACATACAACATATCTCTAATTAGTCCCAACAGTGTTGAAGAAAACAAGAAGCAAAACTAAAAGTCTTCATAGAATAAAATGTCTTTGTTTATGCACGATTAGAAATGCAGGAACACTAAAGATCAGAAATTTAAAGGAAAAAGAGGGAGTTTCTGGTAGGGGAATTAATGTGGCTTGAAGGGAAAAAAACATGTCACACCCTGACATGTTTGGTAAACAAGTAAAAAGGACAATTTGAACAGCCCCACTGGTTAGAGAACAAAAGGGTGACTGATACAAACAGCTTGATGGGGAGATGAGAGGCTAACAATAACTGAAGATAGGTGCAGAGATTAGCTAGTCCATGCAGGGCACCATGAAACACCTGCTTTCAAGACATTCAAAAATACCTACAAAGCTTGACTCTTCATTCTCAAGCTTACATCCCAGGCTTTAGAAAACATGAATACAAACTACCACAATTATTCAAGTCTAATGCGCACGTTTTAAAAGATAAATTACAGTCAAAATTGAGGTGCGTATTAGATTCGATGGCGGATTAGAATTGTTCCCCTGCATCAAGCTGAAGCTGTTCTTTCCACTGACAGGTATGACTCACAGGAGAACAACATACCATCTCAGAGTGAGACACTGAAAGCATTTCAAGTGGTTCACCTACTGCACTCATCATATCACTGACAAAGGCACATGACTCTATTCCACAGAATGGGCATGAGAAACTAGGGATTTTTCTCAGCTAGCTGCTCCCCTCAAAAACTTAATTTCACAACTCTGATTTCAATAAGCATATGGGCTTGTAGGAGAAAATCAGGAAGAAGCCATTTTACCCTTGGATGCTAAGCAAGCCTACCTTTGGTCACAGTCCATTCCACAGCAGTTAGCATGGCCTTTTCTAGAGGGTCACCCACCAGGGACCCATCATCCAGCTGCATCAGGGAGTGGCAGGTGGCAATGACCCGGTGCGTCTCAATAGGAATGTCTGACACAGGGGTCACATCTTTCCCATCTCTGCAACAAGAGCAAAAATTCACATTCAGTTTTCAAAAGGGGCTGCATTCAGATATCCTATTTCCAGTTCTCTAAACCAGTGCTTCTTGGGCTATCTGATGTGGAAAATTGGCTATTACTTCTTCACAATGTGAAAAAGACCAGCACCATATTTGTGCCCACTGCAACAGTTTCTTTCATTCCTGGAAATTCAGCAGAGACTGGTAGCCAAAGGCTCACAATGATTGACATCAGTCCATGAACCATAACTTTTCAGCAGCACTGCTCTGAATGATGATTTATGATATGAGAAACAATCAGAGAAGAGTTTTGTTAAAGACAAAGTTTCCAATGAATGGGAACCTGATCAATCAATCTCACCAGGCAACTAATTCCAAAACAGGGACAATTTCATGGGGGTGGTTTGCATTTGTTTTTAAAATTTATGTAGGCTATTAGTCCATATTTCAAAAAGACATCAAATGTAGCAAAACATTGATCAAGTATTCCTTCCAATATTCTAATTTTCAGTTTTTTCCTATTTTTCTAATACAAATCTAGCTATGGGCTAGGAATGAAACAGTCAGACAAACAACCAAGGCCAAGTGACACTATTGTACAAGGCAAAAATGTCTGAACCAGCATTTTCTAAAAGGAACCAAATTAATTGGATCTTTGTGAAATTTTTGTACAGAAATTCTGGCTCATTTAATTGCTTTCACCTTGACACAAGATGTAAACATACATCTTGTGTGGATTATCTATATTACTACCTTTGGATATAACTGTTTTTAAGTGTTTTTAAATGTATATTTATTATAATTTTATGTAATTGTGTATTTTATTGGTGTTTTTATATTGTTGGAAGCTGCCATGAGCCCCTCTTCAGAGGTCAAGAATAGGACAGGATACAAATGTTCTAAATAAATAAAAGGGATGGAAAAATGTACATGTGTGTACGTCAGAAGATTAAAGATGAAGTTTCCCTTCCCCAAACTGTTTATTCTCTCACCCAAGACTTACCGGAGTCCAGCTACACCCCTCACTACCAGGTTGTCACTGGTGAGTGTGCCAGTTTTGTCAAAGCAGCAAATCTGGACCTTGCCTGCAAATGGGATACGAAATGGTTCCGTGCAATAAACATCTGAAAGAAAAGAAAGAGAACCATTCAATACTAGCAGTCTACATTTTCTGGTTCTTAATACTACTGTCACCTTATCTCACATGTTTTTACTGCATGGCAAAATGGGGTAGGTCTGGGTAGCCACTGGGGTTTCTGCTGCTATCATCATCATCATCATCATCATCATCATCATCATCATCATCATTGTTACAAAGGCCGGGTGGCCATCTGTTGGGAATGCTTTGATTGTGCTTTTCCTGCATGGCCCCTGGGGTCTTCCACTGAAATACTGTTAAACGTCACGGTATTTCAGTGGAAGACCCGAGGGGTCATGCAGGAAAATACAATGTTTAAAATGAATAACAATTTTAACCAACATAAACTTATGTTGGTTAACATTGTTGTTCATTTTAAACATTGTATTGTTCTTTATTCTTTCTGCACTACAAACAAGATATGTGCAGTGTACATAGGAATGTGTTCATTTCCCCCCCCAATGAATTCGCACACACATTCTCCATCCATCTGCCACTGGCCCAGCCCATCTGTCAAATTTTAAAATGCAATGCAACCCCTGTGTCCAAAAGTTTCTTGGGGCTCCACAAGAAACGTTTCCTTCAAAAAGGCTCCACAGCTTTCAAAAATTGAGAACACCTGTTTTAGGCCATGTCCTCTTAGATATACAACCCTCAAGTTGGCCAAGTTAATAAATTGTCTTCAACCCTATGGATGGTGTTGACTCCACCTAAAGCAGTGGTTCTCAACCTGTGGGTCCTTAGTGTTTTGGTCAACAATTCCCAGAAGTGTCAGCCAGTTTACAAGCTGTTAGGATTCCTGGAGTTGAAGGCCAAAACATCTGGAGACCCACAGGTTGAGAACCACTGTTCTAAAGTCTCTGTATGTTGCCATTCACTGAATGGCCACATAGAGAGACTTTAGAACACTGGGAACCACTGACCTAAAGGAAAGTGTGATTTTCCCAAGTGGTCTGGGGTTCATTAAAAAATTGCAAAGAGATCAGCACAAGATCTGGACTGCCTATTTGGGGGGTGGGGGAAGAAGCTAGGTGACTATTGCAAAACTGCTACGTTTACTTAAGGCTGTTATATAACCAATACTGTGTGTTGTGGTTTACTTAAGGTTTCAGAATTCAGATGTCGCATGTCATAATATTCTGCACCAAATGGAAGAAATACTACAGAAATGCCCAGGATAGGGGGCTACAAAGCAAAAGAAGGGCAATTCTCAGAACTTAAAAAATGTCACCAATTCTTCACTCTACAATACTGAAGCATGCAATCTCACCCCTTAAGAAGGTGTGTCTGCTACTTACATAATTTGGCAAGAGCGATGAGTGAGGTGTTGACCGCCAAAGACAGCTCAATAGGAAGTTCTGGTGGGACAACCGAGGTGAGGATTAAAGTGCATTCCAGAAAAAGCTTGTAGCGGTTCCTAGTGGGATCCTTGGTGCCTTGGAAAAAGAAGCAGAAACACAAGTCAGAGAAGGAGTAGGAGAAAGCAGAGGAGGAATTAGAGCCACAAACCTCAAACAGTTTTCTAGGGTACACTAATTTGCCACTGAAGAACCCTGAACTGTAAAGCACATCTGTCATTACTAGACCCTCGCAAACAGAAAAGGCTATCTACTGAATTTCTGTGGAATTTTCTGTCCAACCCTTGCCACCTCCCAATGCAGTGTAAGCAAGTATTACTTCTCCTTCTCTGCTTGTACTGGAAACGAATACAATATAAGACTCATCTAAGATAGGGAAATTAAGCAGAAATTCCTTGCTCTTGGAGGAAACACACCAAGAATAGGGATTTATGCACATGCACAATGAAAGGGCATGTGCAAAAAACAGCATGTGCTGTTTTAAGGGCAAGCAGCTATTCTTCTATGTTTGAAAGCAAACTTTTTCAAGGTCTAAAGTTCAAAAATTCATGCAAGGGTAATTCAATGTGGTCTACCCACAATTTTCAATGCTTGAGGGGGAAAAGAATTTGGCAGACATTTTTAATATGGACTTACTATCAAAACCTCTCTGCTCTTATTAAAATTGGCCATCACAGCCTCTCCACAGAGAGGCTTACACAGTAAAACAGCATGTAAAAATGGCTGCCATTTCACTCCATTTTAAGTGCCCCAAATTCAAAAACATTAATTATTACCTTCAATCCACACATATGCTGCAGCAGCAATGGCAAAGACAAGCAAAAAAAGAATGAAGATGAAAGTTTCCAAGTTGTTGGCTGTCACTCGTTTAACACCAAATAGGATTGTACGCAGAAGTTTCCCCTAAAAGGGAAGGAAGGGAGAGCTCTTATTGGGAAGCAACAATGACCTATCCTCTGAGGCGCTTTTGAGAGAATGGGGGACATAAGTACATATTACCAGCTTTGACTCAGATTCAATACTTGTGATGTGCAGCTATACCCTCTCTGGAAATAAGCTTGCTGTGGAATCATACATGTTTAGTTGGTATTGCCCCACTTGATAGCCTTTGGGAAGCTTTCTAAGATCTACAGAGATACTAGCAGGAAAATCTCATCAAGAGAGAGTCCAAAAGTGGCAGGTTAAAACCCAGAACCTCAATCAGAGGTTCTGATGAGAAACTCCCTCCTGGGCACACAGAAGATTGGGTGACTTGGAAACCGCTGAACAGACTGCGCTCTGGTACCACGAGATGTAGAGCCAACCTTAAGAAATAGGACTACAAAGTGGAGTCCATGACATGCAAGTGTGGAAAAGAGCAAACCACAGAGCACTTACTATAATGCAGTCTGAGCCCTGCCACATATACAATGGAGGACCTTCTTACAGCAACACCAGTGGCATTCAAAGTGGCCAGCTTCTGATCAAAGGAGATTTAGTATAATAGCAAATTTTAACTTTGGTTATGGTTTTTTATACATTATAACTGTATTCTCAATTCACTTTTGACACAATAAATAAAAAAACAGCTTCGAGCTTTAGAAAAAACAAGAGATAGATGGAAACAATGAAGCCACAAATCAGCCAATGAAGCTACTCCATAAATAGACATTTTAAAGCTATACTTTCCGTTAAATTATTGTTTGTAAAGGTGAAGAACTACTCAATGTACTATCTAGCTCTTCTAAAAGGTGAAGTACTTTGGAAAATATTTACAAAATCAGTTATGTAAGATGAGCAGCCTAAATGTACTACAATATCCTGGTTCACTTAAGAGAATTAAAAGATATAATGCATGAGTGAACTCTTTGGCTATTGTTGGATTGGTAAGCATAATCAATGGCAAGGACTTCTAGAGGTCAACAAAAGCCGGAGGGCTGCACTTTCTGACTCAGATGTGGCAACTACAAAGGATGGAGCCCCAGAAAACTGGATCTAGGTTTCTGATATTGACAACTGAATTAAATAGGCAAAGTACTACCTCTTGGATTTTGACATGTGGGACTTTGCACAAGTGAAGTTATTTTTCACTGGTTACATACCTGAGATGTGTTGAAGCCTGTCCTTAGAACATAGGCTACGCATCCATTATCGACAGCTGTAAAAGGTAGGAAAGCAAAGCTTTGATACATCATATTGTTGTAGAGAAAGGATCAACTCAACATGGAAAAGATGTGCAAGTTGATGAAATAGCTCAACAAAATGAACTCTGCCATACTGAGCACTATATGGAACCAACGCTATTATACACAGACCATCAGAGGGCAAAGTAGGAAGCTGTAAGATTCAGCAAATAGATTTGGACAAGCTTGGTTCATTTGTCTGTGCATTTCCCGAGCTCAAAAACCTGTTTCAGATGAAGTTATGTCTGTCAATTCATCCAAATAGCTCCCTGTTGACCATGGGGCTACTTCAACTTTAACATTTGCAATTTTATCAATAATAGTATGGGTACTCCCTGACTCATCAGGTACATAGCCTATAGCTATTGCAAAAGTAATAATTGTGCCGAAGACAGCTAAAGAATAACCTTTTGAATGAAGCTAGAAATACAAATCTAAGACAAAAATTAGGATAGACTCAATCACATCAGAAAAGAAAATAACTGCATCCAGTCAATCTAAACAGTGGGATGAATTACCAATTAAGAGTATCTTCAGGAGGTCCCATCCCTTTCTGTGCTTCCCTACAACATATTCACCCTAGCCAAACTGGTACATACGTTTCAGGCCGGTGCTGGCCTTCTGTGGTGGGATGTGCTGCACAACTTTTGTTCCCCCGAAAATGACATGCAACCTGGAATCTGCCTGCATGTCAAGAATATGATCTGGGTCCAGCTCTTCCACTGGTTCCTACAAGAGAAAGTGGCAACTGAGCATGGATAATAAATGAAGTGTCTTCATTACCTATCACTATTATGAAGATGCTAAGAGTATAGAAGGAGATAATTCCACTATATACCTTCTCATAATGGCAATAGGAAGTGAAGGGGCATCTCTTCCTCACACTATTTGGGAGTAGTTCCAGATGTAATTCTGTTACTGCAGTGCTTGTAGGGAAGGGGGTGCATATTTTTTAATATTTTGTGATGGGAAAGCTGTACGATTAACAAGAAAAACTGCCTGAAAATCTGGCCATTTTTTAAATGGGGGGTGGGGGGCTTGTGGACTGGTGGAAGGCTTCTGAAATCACAAACATGGGTCTAGAGGCCACTCCTATTCTAGAGAGATGCAATAGAACAAATGCGGCCTTTCTGCTGGTTATGTGAGATACTGTCAAGAAAAATAAAAGTAAAACATTAAGTGTTGGTTAAATCGGTAGCACAATGTGATGGAAAGATATCATCCATATCTAGGCCAAGGCATCTGATACTGAAATATGGGAGAAAATACTTCTTAGCAAAATGACAACAGAGGCCATTGTTGAGTATCTTTTCCCCTGACCAATGACTGAGCGCATAGTCAACTTCTCACTGATGTCACAAATCTCACATGATCTGTACCATTCTGATTAAAGACACACACCTTTAGCATCTTGCACACAGGGGAAACAGAATGTGAGAATTCTTTTCTCTGTGTGTGTGTTTTTTTTTGTTCTGCAATAGAGACTTATTACAGCATGAAACTATACTACAGAATAGATTCTAAAATGAGACAGGCTAATTACGGGTTTAATGAGAAATGGGCCTAAGATGCCACAGGACTGGTCTTGAAATGTATTATGCTAAATGTAGAGGAATAAAGACATCACTGGTAAAGAAGGTGGCACAATTCTGTTGTCTAACTACAAAAATTCATGTAAAATGATGTAGATTCCTGTTCCATTTCCTTTGTCTAGTTTTTATAAGAAAAATAATCTAGAACAGGAGGCATATGTATGTGGTGAAAGAAAAAAATCTGCTACCATGCTGCAATGATATAAGCCTCTATGTTGGAGATGAACTGTTGCCTCAGTTCTTGTTTGGAATCATAAATCAACTCAAATAGGGACTGGTGAGTTTCAGATTCGCCTAGGGCAGTGGTTCTCAACAAGGGGTCCCCAGATGTTTTTGCCCTACAACTCCCAGAAATCCCAGCCAGTTTACCAACTGGTAGAATTTCTGGGAGTTGAAGGCCAAAAACATCTGGGGACCCTAGGTTGAGAACCACTGGCTAGGGGATTCTTCTACCCAAAGCAATGGCTCCTAGGTTAAGTGCCCAGTATAAATGGCACCTAAGATTGATGAAACAGATGAAGCCCATCTTATTATTCTGCTTCCAACAGCGGTCTATCCCTGTATTAGAGAATGCAAGCCTATTTTGTTCCCTGACCAGCTTCACACTTTTTTGGCCCTTAATATACAAGCATTTATTTCCTTCAGCTTTTGCCGTAGCACTCATCATCCTCTATTGCTGATTTTTATAAAGTGTATCCATATGCAATTGGTCAGCTATTCTCTCTTCACTGCCACTGCCTCCACTACAGCCTCCCCATTGTATACATAATCCCACATCCCTTATTCCCTTCATCCTGCCTGTCTTCCTTGTTCAGTGTGTAAAACACCAAGCATTCTGCTAGCACCAAAGAGGTGGCAAATGATGAGAGCAACAATCTCCAAACCTTCATCTGAGGCACTGATTCTCCAGTCAACATGGCTTCGTCTACAATGCACCTTCCTCGCAGCAGCAGCACGTCACATGGTACAAGGTTCTCATGAGGAGAGCGGCCTAGAGTCGAGAGTTGTATGTTCAGAAAGGGTTGGCAGGACAATATAGCCTTTATGAAAGCAATAAGATGGACAACCATGGGCATTTTTGGAGCTTCACTCCCTCTACCCTCGGGGATCCCCAAATTAAGACCTCTAGGCCATATGTGTCCCTTCTAGGTCATTTACTCAGCCCCGCTTTAAACTTTAGACTTAGATTTGCCCAAGTCAGGAATGACTTGAAGGCACAGAGCAATAAAAACAATCCTAATTAACTTGACTATCTCATCAGCCAAAAGCAGGTTCACACATCCCACTGAAATACTGGCTTATGTTGGTTAAAATTGTTCTTCATTTTAAATACTGTATTGTTCTTTAATTTTTATCCAGTCTGACATTGGGCCAGGCAGGACACAGATGGGGAATGAAATAAGACAAATGTCAAGATTTTGAAGGGATATAAAGCAGGATAAATAGAAAAATAATTATTTTCAAACACTGTTTTACTTTTTATCTCATTTAAACTATTTTATTGTTTCAGTCTAAAATTGTTTTAAATTTATTGTTGCTTTATCTATATGCTGCTCTTAAATCCCAAGATAACAAGTAAGATGTAAACATTTGAATATATAGAGAGAGGGTCTTCTTTGTTTTCCCATCTCAGCTGTCTCTAATGCAGCCAAGACAAAGTAGGCGTAAATGCATTCCAACTCTAGCTGGCAAAGTAATTAAAGCTTTGTAGAACCAGGCTCTGAACCTTTACTTATTCATGTTAGATGATGTGTGACCATCCTACACTTTGCAGACACTTGGTGTTTTCCCATGTCACCTGGGAAGCAATTACAAGGTCAACAGCTTCAATGAAAGCCAGCAAGGAAGGAGGTTATATAAAGAATTACCAGAAATAAAATAAACTGCTGCAATTGCCGTCAGGGTCCAATGGATTTGGCTCCTGATGGAAATTACAATAAGTAGTACTAGGAAATTGAGAGCTGCCCTTTCTTGCTACAGTTGCTTCCCCCTCCACACTCCACCCTGTATCCGCTCCAGATGGTTGAGGAACTTGTGAAGCAGGTTTTGAGGGCAGAAGGGATGGCTGTAGGGGAGAGGAAAAAAGCCCAACACTGGATTTAGGTCATGAGAAGCCTTCTTCCTGCCTTGACCCTTAGCTAGTGCCTCATAGCTTTAGTGATATTTAGGGATGGATGAAGACAAAAAAACGTGAAATTGATCTCCGGCAAAAGTAAGGTCAATTAGATAAACTTTATACACTCATATCTGTGAAAAACAAGGAAGTTCTGTTACCGACTGATACAATGTCCCCTGGAATGATCTCATCACTGGAAATTGGCCTCCATTTCCTGTTTCTGTAAACCTGTGAGATGAAGAAAGTCAGAAGGAAAGCACTTAGGATCTGGGAGGATGAAAGCACTGGAGAAACAGTCCCAAGTCTAATGTCCCACAACCTTGTTACAACTCCACTGAAAGATATTTTCATGAATATCAAAATCTGTAATTTTAGCTCCCAACATAAATATATATGGTAATATCCTTAAATAGCCTCCAGTTTAGGGATAGAAACAATCCTTGGAGCCTTGTTTGTACTTCCAGTTTCACTCACTTCTCTTGGAGGCCCCCAACTATCTTTACTTTCTTTACCTTCTCAATAATGATCACTGTCCACTGATCGCATGTAATCCTGAGCATTCAACATTCTTGCAACTTCGACACCAAACCCTGAATGCTCCACCTCTTATCTCCCTTGTTTTTTGCCTTACCTGGATCATGTAGGGTTTGTTGCCCATTTTTCGGATCTCTGACATGTTCCTCATTTGCTGCTGGACAAGAGATGCTTCAAAAGCCACCAGCATGGAAAGAGTGAAGACACTATAATACCAGTATTCATCCAAGCACCACAGTCCAACGCAGAATACCTATAGAAGGTAGAAACAAATCTCTTCAGTGCTGACCAAGTAAGGTCATTTTCCAGGGAAATAAAAGATTTGTGGAAATTTTAGGGCCTGAAACAAACAGCAGTGCTGTGTCTAAAAGGATGAGTTAAAAAGCCCAATCTTGAGAACTGCTTATCCTAAATGTTTGGAACCAGAAGTGTTTCTGATTTTGGAATATTTGCTCATGCATAGTGAAATATCTTGGAGATGGAATACATGTTTAAACATGAAATAAATCTATGTTTCATAGACATCTTATACACAAAGACTAAAAGGAATTTTATACACAAAATCTTTAATAATATTGTGCATGAAACAGTGTTTGTGTACACTGAACCATCCGAATACAAATGTATCACTATCTCAGCAACCCATGAATATAATTTTGGAGTGCTTCTGGATAAGGAATACTCAAACCTGTACTACTTTATCCACAAATGTACTACCTAGCCTTGGGCAAGGCACTCTCTTTCATCCTCAGTTGTTCCTCTCTAATATGGAGACATAAAATGTTGACCCACCTTTTAAAAAACTATTACAAGGTTTACTGAAATAGTGGGTCTGTAACCCTAGTTCCATGTTCTGAGGTGGGCCTCCTATTTGACTTTTCTTGAGCATCGAAAATTGTTCTTCAAACAAAGCAGAATTTCAGAAGTAGATTGAGATAGAGTATGAAGGTATGTGTCAGATACCCAAAGGAGGAAGGGGGACAAGAATGTTACTGCTGGCTAAATTAAAGCACTTTGTTACTTATCAGCCCTTCCGGCAGATTTGAACATGTGGTGAAGGTGAAGCAGGGGTTGGGTTTGTATAAAGGTTGTTATTAACACAAACATCTGGTGTTTTGTACACACGGTGAAAGTTAAAACAAAAACATTAGTTTCATGCCAAAAATGAAAGCACAGAGATAGAGCTTGGCACAACATTTTTTAAAGAAGATACATTACTTTTCAAAGGAACTAACTGATGTTAGTTGCTGTTTGGGGTCAGTGATAAATATTTTTAAAATACTCTTGAAAATACAAATGTGTCCAAAAGTCGCTGCAACTGATCCCTAAAAACCATGCAAAAAGACTTAACCAGTCTATTTTTCTTTAAAAAGGACCAACTCTTGAGACCTGTCTTATCTCAAAAGAAACACATCATACTCAATGCCATTGCATCTTACATTTAACAACCAGTTTTCCACATTCACTAGGGTTAGGGGCATGGGACCACCATGAAAGTGGCAGTCCTATGGTGGAACCCATGAATAAGGAAATGGCTATTTTTTTCACTCAAGAGAATACCTCTATAGGAATTTCTAGTTCTTCCAGCATGATTCTGTGGCCAACTTCCATGGGATGTTGACTACAGAATCAGATTAGAGTAACTAGCAGTTTCTAGAGAGGTGTTCTCTTGAAAAAATTCTAGGTCCTTCAACGTGAGAGATTCCGAGAAAAAACATTTTTAGTCAAATCTCTGAATAATCAAATCCACAAAAGTCAAAATGCAAATGTGGGAAGATGACTGTATGTCCAAGATCTGGCAGGAAATAAAGAGCCTGGGGGTTAAAGGCTATATTTGGTTCCTAATGATTGAAGACTGAATTGCATTGCACAGAAGAGGATTCTTCCCCAGCTTGGAAATTTAAAGTAAAACAAACAAAAAGCTTGGAGACAAGTGGCTGGTCCATTTTATTTCACCTCTGGCTAAGCAAAAATTGCCTAAACCAAGAAGCAAGCTGGGCATCAAAAATATTTTCTGTGATGACACCAAACTCCAAGTCCATGCTAGGTTGCCAACTATTTGAAGCTAGTATACGTGGCTAACAGCATCCTAGCAGGCAACTGATATTAAGAAGAATTGTCATAAGGCAACCTTGTCCTAAGTTTTCTTGAGTAGGTTTATTCATAGGTGGCTTGCTGTTGCCTACAACTGAGAGTGTGACTTGCCCAAGGTAATTCAATGGCATCAATGGCTAAGTAGAGATTCAAATTCTGGTCTCCCAAAATCCTTGACCAATACTCAAACACTGAGCCTCTAGAAATATATATATATATTTGTTTACCTGAAAAACAAAGAAAGGTGCTGTTGCTCTCTCTTTGAAGAGCTCAAGAAACTCTGGCACAACCATCTCTGCCCTGTGTGGAAAAGCAAAAGCCTTGGTTAATTTTGACACTCATGTACTGCTGAGCCATCCCAACCTGCCTTCAGTCACCAGAACCCTGAAGCCTTTACTTTCCTTTGTGGAAGAACATCTCACAGCTTTCTCCTTTCTTGTTCACTTGAGTAGCCTGTTAGTGTGTACATATATACCGTCACAAATGGAAACCTGGGATTTCACCCTCATCCCACAACTGCATCAATTACACAATCAACAGCTAAACAAATAAAAATTGGCTACCGTAACCATGGCTGTTTACATGGAAACGCCCAGCCGTTTATGAAGAAACAAGTCACTGATGTGACAATCAAGCAGCCAATGAGAAGTGTTCTTGGTTTCATATTATCAGCCAATTTAAAAAATTTCTCCTATTGGTTTATGCGATTATGACATCACTGAATTGCTCCTCCATAACCTTCATAAAGGCTACAGCTACTGAGCCAGACTTTAACCAAAGTTTCCTTTTTTGAAAAGCTCCACTATTGCCTGGTGAGGAACATGGGATGGATGAAATCTCCTTTCATGTGCTAGCTCAGATTGGAAAACACATCCTCACCTTTTGGGCTCTTTAAGTAAGAGTCTAATATATATTTATATAATCGGAAGGAGTGCTCCAATCTTGATGGCTACCCTGGGGGTCAAAGGAAGGTGTTTTGTGTCTTACAGTTCCTGCTCTTTAATCCTCTAAATGTGAAGTTAGTTACACACAGGTTAGATGTGTCTTCTAAAAAGGGGTGTATACATAGTCCTCTGCTGTTTTCAGCTTTTGTGGTTGTGGGCAATAAATAGGTAACAGTTGCAATTATCTACTCTGGTAACAATATTAGAGGTCCCAACAACATCACTCGTGCTTTTATTTGCTCATCCTCCAATGTGACATCTGTCCTTATCTGTTAGAAATGGTTGGACAAACAGGATAGCTTGCACGCAGGAGATAACTTGATGCAAATCCAAAATTCAAACTGGCAATATGTATTTAAAAAAACAGCTACTGAACATTTAGTTACTGATCCACAAGTAGCTATTTCAGAAGAAAAACAAAACAAAATGAAAGAGAGAGAGAGGGAAAAGCCTTGTAATCTGGAATGATTCACAAATCTCAATCCATTATCAGAATATGAATAGTGACAATGGTTTCTTGGCACACTTCATATATATTAACTTGTGGATTTACAACAATTGTTACACCAGTAACACATGCAATGAAAGAAATGTTCTCATAAAACTTCCTATTTGAAGGGAATGCTTTTGAAGAATCAGATTTTATTGTTTTTTGCATCACAGGATCAACAGATTAGCTGCTTGTCATCTCATGCAGTCTTTATGTGTTTATGATCAGGAGCATATTTACATCTTTCTGTATTTCATTATAACGCCACTTAAACTATGTAACTACCTATGGCTTTAACATCACTCATTTAATGAATCTGAAGAAATTGATTTAAATTAACAGAAAACTAATCAGTCTTCAAGGTATTGCTACAGTCCCTCCATTTCCTCTTTTAAAGCATGTATTACTATATCTAGAAAAAAAGTGTAACTCTGAAGAGAGAACTCACTATTTTTGGTGGGCTCTTCTCAGAAAGACAAGTACACTTTCCTAACTGAAGAGAGAACCCACTATTCCTGGTGGGATCGTCTCAGAAAGACAAGTACACTTTTCTAATTATCTGTTTGAAACTAAATTTCGCTTATACATACATCTCCATACTTTCCAGAAAAAATAAATTAAGACAGGTAATCTAAATCAAGCAGTGTCATTGGGTTAATAAACAGCTAATAGCAAGCTGTAGGGAAATGAAAAATCACTTCCATGCAGTCCCTTCTATAAGTAACTATTAACCAATTTGTTTTTCCGGAATGGGGAGGCATTTTATATTGTGGACAGTGTATATTATATAGTTTGCATTCAACACAATGATTCTTATATTATTTTACATATAATGCATCATATATTTCTACTGTTCTGTTTTTCTCAGAAAAGTATCTAAACATTTTAAATGTGAACAACAACAAAATGTGGACAATGCAACTTTCTCTGCAGATGGTCTGATTCAATGCTAGCAATAACCTCTTTGCTTAACCTATTGCTACTATATTACAAAAAGTGCCCTTAAAGTAGTACTTCATTAGTAGCTTGCTAGACCTATGATCCAGACAAGTAATAGTTTTAAGTTAATTAGACTGCAATATAAGCACTTTGCAAGTAAGAGTTCAAGCACTCCTATTCCTAGAGATGCTCACTATCAATGCAGATAATAGTAACTTGGCCCACCTGTATTCCACTTACTTGTTGGTGCCATACTTCTTCTCTGCTGCTTTAATTTCTTTGTCTTCCTGGTAGCCTCTGGCATTTTGATAATATTGCAGTGGGTGCTCCACAGGGAAGGCTACAGAAAGGAATTTTTTCTTCTCATTCAGTTCATAGAAATACTTTATTTTCTGAAACTCAAAGGAAAGAACTTCTTGGCCGTCCTCCCCCTAGAAGAAGAAAACATCAAACAACTATTTTCATGTGTAAGAAAGAATGTGTCTGGATTTATTCTAATAATAAAAAAGATGCATTACACAGTCAGGAATAAAAGGAAGCAAAAAACCAAACAAACAAAAAACAAAAAAAACCACATTAAAAACAGGTTACTAACAATGCTGCTACAAAATTGATGAAAAGGAGTGAAGGATCGGAACAGAACCTGTGTGCCGCCAAATAGCAGGGCTACTACCCAAACCATCATTGGGCTCTGGAAACTGTGTTTTGCAATAGATGGGCTCAAATGGCTTGTACACATGAGTCACTGAGACTATGAAGAAATGCCAGCAACAACAAAAGGCTGTAACCAGAGTAACTATGTAGTTCTTCAAATGTTGCTGGAATGTATTTTCCTGCATTCTTCGCTTCTGGCTATCTTGGTTATGGATGATGGGAACTTAAGTTGCACAGCTCCTGAATAACTGCAACATTCTCACTCCTGAATTACAAGGAGGAGGAGACATACTTTTTTCAAGGCATGAATAATAGCCTTGAAGCTGACAGAAAATTCCAACTAAAAAAAAGAAAAGAAAAAAGGAAATGACTGAAGTAACTTGGCGGGATACATTTGTTTACATTAACATTCTTAAAACCTATGCTTGGATCCTAATTAATACTCTCCTCGTTGAATGTTCTTGCTTGGAGTTCAAATGTTGGGAGAAGTCATTCGCTTGCAAAGTCCTACCTGCAGTCTCCAAATTTCTATAAACTTCTTGAGAGAAGTGAAAAACTGCTGGAATAATGTAGAGATGGCAGTGGAAGTAAAACATACCTTCCTCTCCACTCTTCCTTCAGGAGGTGTTGCCACTGAAACAAGTTCGAATGCGAGCCTCCAATCACATTAGAGATCTCAGGATCCAATCCACTGCCTACACATCTCTTGCATTATATTGGTGACAAAGTCTGCATTTCATAACATCTAACTATCTACACCGATGCACCATACTGTCCAATCAATGTCAAACTGAAATTGGATATTCAAGGTTTCCATGAAGGGAAACTGTACATTGTCCCAAACCAATTTTTACCTGGTCTCGGTGAAGTGGTACTAATTCAGCAGAACCATTATTTGGGGTGGGCACCACTTTTGCCAACGTGGCTTTCTTTGGACAACGCACCTGGAACATACACAACAGAAAAGCCAGGTTTTAGAGCTTGAACTAAGGAAAGCAAAAGTTAGTAAGCCCAATGTACAAGAAGAGGGCATTGAAAAGCTGCATTGTGGGTGTGTGAAGGGCAGAGTAGACTGAGACAAAAAGACAAGAAGTTAGCGAAATAATTTTTGGAAGAAGGAGGGCTAAAGCCTTTAAAGAAAAACCCTTCCCAGAAGAGGTTAGGGAGAAACTACATACATAAATTCTAGAACACCACCACCAAGAAGAAGAATGGAAGTCGAATTGTGTGCTAGTTTGTATTTTTTTGCTTTCCTTCTTTTCTTTCCCCCCCTTTTTAGTGGTAGTTGTTGGAAATTTTTCCTCCCCCTTTGATCCCTACATACTTATATAACCCCCCCCCCCACCCTTCACTTCCCAATTGTCTTTTTCCTAATTACTGTATTTGGAAAACCATAATAAAAACTATTTTTAAAAAGAAGGTTCTCAATGAACCTATTTAACTAGATGAACTTGAGGTAAACAGAATAAGACACAGCGGTGAGTCTTAAGTTTGTTTTTCACTGCTACTTCTTGCTTTTTAGCTTTAAGATTCTTTCGTAGATATTGACTGAATGTTTGCACCTTTCTCAGCTAGGCTGACAGGAAGTGACGTGTCAATATCCACAAATAAGACTACAGACAAGGAGGCTGTTCTCTGGCTCACTTTCTCAGAAATGGATGGGACCAGAGAAAGCTTAAATTATCATCATTGCTTTTGGAGCAGATGTTCCGGCATCACCAATGGCTACGATGTCCTATGATAATAGAATCATAGAACTGAAAGAGACCACATGGGCATCCAGTCCAACCTCCTGCTTGCAGGAAAAGCACAATGAAACACCCATGACAAATGGCCATTCAGCCTCTGTTTAAAAGCCTCCAAGGAAGGAGCTTTTACCACATTCCGAGGCAGTGAGTTCCACTGTTGAACAGCTCTTACAGTCAAGAAGTCCATCCTAATAATCAGGTTACTACTTTAAGAATGAATTACTCTTGCTAGAAGTCTGAACTGATCCTTAACAGATTAGTGAACTGGACCAAAACTAACAAAATGCATTTCAATATGGAGAAATGTGGGATACTAAGGCAGAAAAAATGAAATGCACAGATAAACGATGGGTGACGCCTGGCTCAAAAAACAGCTCATATGAAAGAGATCTTGGAGTCTTATTAAATCACAAGATGAACGTGAGCCAAGGATGTGATGCAGTAGCTAAAAAAGTCAATGGGATTTTGGGCTGCATCAAAAGGAGTACAGTGGTCTAGATCAAGGGAAGTAATTATGCCTTTCTATTCTGCTTTGGTCAGACCTTCTCTAGAATATTGTGTCCAAATTTGGGCACCACAATTCAAGAGGAATATTGACAAGCTGGGACGAATCCAGAAGAGGGCAACTAAAATGATCAAAGGTCTGGAGACCATACCCTATGAGGAGAGTCTTAAAGAGCTGGGTATATTTAGCCTGTAGAAGAGAAGGTTGAGACATGATTGCCATGTATAAATAAGTGAAAGGATGTCATAAGGAAGAGGAAGCAAGCTTGTTTTCTGCTGCCCTGGAAACTAGGGCTTGGAGAAATGGGTTCAAATTACAGGAAAGAAGATTCCACCTGAACATTAGGAAGAACTTCCTAAGAACTGTTCAGCAGTGGAACTCTATGCCTCAGAGTGGGGTGGAAGCTCCTTCCTTGGAGGCTTTTAAACAGAGGCTGGATGACCATCTGCCGGGGTAATTTGATTGTGAGCTTCCTGCATGGCAGGGGGTTGGACTGGCAAGGGGGTGAGCCACGTAGTCTCTTCAACTATGATTTTATGATTCTTGTAGAAGACTTCTGAAATTAGACTGATAGCAGCAGGCTGTTCTGCATATACTTTCCAATGAACTAAAGAGGACCTAATTATGAGTAAAAGCGCAAAGCCTGGTTGCCCACCTGCCCATCTGAATTTTTTGCACAGGTTTCAGATTTACAAGATAGAGTATAGTGATTGCCTCAGGTGGCTAATTTCAAGCTTGATTGAAAGCCTAATTTAAATAAGTAATTACAAACCATCATTTAATTTGGTTTCATTAGTAGGGATTTTGAGAACGGAAAGCAATCTTGTGCTGTTGCCATTGCACTAAAGTCTCTATAATTAAACTACTTGTGCTCATGAAACTGATTTCTGGAAAGTTAAAATTATGACAAGAAAGTAAATGACTTCAGTCACAGACTTGGATGGCAGTAGAAACATGTAGATTTCTTTGCTCTCTGTGAAGAAACAATAGGGCAATTTATTTATGTATTCTCAAGTTCTGAAAAATCCCCAATCAGCCCTGCTCTACAATTAGAACCAGATTAATTGCCAAGCCATGAGGAAAACAGCAGAGTACATTATTTGATTCCACTGCAGTAGAATTAATTAGGTCTAAATCACTGTTGGAGGAATGCAACTAACCAAAGTTAGGGCTTTAAAACCTGATCAGCAGTGGTTCCTGATTTAAAAAGGAAAAACATTTTTAAGAGTACATCTATTTCAGCTTAGACATTGGTGGACATCAATCTACTTGAAAACTGGTCTCTGATTTTCTTTCTGGCACCAATTTAAATCATTATATTTAAATACATGCATTATGGGAGGCAGGAGCCCCCGGTGGCGCAGTGGGTTAAACCCCTGTGCCGGCAGGACTGAAGAACGACAGGTCGCAAGTTCGAATCCGGGGAGAGGCGGATTGGCTCCCTCTATCAGCTCCAGCTCCTCATGCGGGGACATGAGAGAAGCCTCCCACAAGGATGATAAAAACATCAAATCATCCAGGCGTCCCCTGGGCAAAGTCCTTGCAGACGGCCAATTCTCTCACACCAGAAGCGATTTGCAGTTTCTCAAGTCTCTCCTGACACGACAAAAAAAATAAATTATGGGGGGCGGCAATATTTGCGAGATAACCTTGCCATATAATTTTTGCAAACTATTAAGACTTTGAGGTGAAGCCTTGATGAATATTCCCTCACTCTTGGGCTTTAGAAAAGTTGCCTTCTGGTTCTGAGCTTCTTACCTGCCTTTTTAACTTACATTTTTCAAAATAGAAGTTTGATTTCATTGTGTTTCAACTTTTATATTGAATGCTTTTAAACTGTTTTTAAAGACTGTCTGCTGGTTGGGACCCCATGTTGGAAAAAGGGGAGTTATTACACAAACAAACGGATAATTCATATAGTAAAAATTCACAGGAACTTCATAGTACATGTTTACGAGTTATATATTTTATATATTGGTTACTTTAAACAATGATGTCACTGTTGTCATTTCAAGACTTATGGTAACTTTATCCTTGGGATTTTTTTTTATCAAGACTTGTTCAGAAAGGGTTTGCCATTTTCTTCCTCTGAGACCAAGTTGTTCAAAGTGGGTTTCAATGGGTGATCAGGAATTCAAACCCTAGCTTCTAGGGTCCTACTCCCAACACGCAAAACATTACACCAGCTGACCCTTATATGACATATCTTGTGCTTTGGGCCAAAAGAGTAGGTGCATATTTCACAAATAATGGCAATAACAAAACAGCTGTACACATGAACTCTGCAAACCTTTGTGATCTCCACTTCCAATTCTACCCGCAAACTTTAACATCTGCCCACTGCAACCCACACAATTTTCCAGCTGTGCAACTTTGGACATAAATAAGAGCTGAGCATTGAGGTAGCTGTTCACAGTGGAAGAAAATCCGAGAACTGAATGTAACCACAGTGGACTGCTATTACAGATTGCCTCAATTCCTATTCCCTTTTCCACCCGCAGACAGCAAAATGGCCAGCTGGAATTTCAGACATCAATGCAACAGAAAGGATGCTTCAGTTCTCACTCCCACCACAAAGCCTGGCATCTCATGCAGCTCAACCCCCTTGTTTTATGATAAGCTTGTAAATAATCATTTGCCAACCTTTCTATGGCAAAGCAGCGAGAGAAATGCTTATAAATCCATGGCATTCCTATTTTGGTAAGAGTTTTTCAAGGCTTCGGTGGGCCTTGCTACCTGTGACTTCACGACAGGCACTAAGCTAGGACTTTCAGCCTGCTGATCTTTCACAGAGCTGAAGCTCTGTGAAAGGCAACAAACAATTCAACCAAATCCACTCAATTGAAAGCATTATAGGGATCATAACTTCCAAATGTGTATGTGTGCTTTCAAATTGCCTGGTGACTAATGGTGACCCCATGACTTTCATAAGAGTCTCTAAGACAAGGAATACCCAAAAGGTGGTTTTGCCAGTTTCTTAGTGTACAGAATCTGGCATTTGTTGGAAATACACATCAAAATTACTTCCCAGGGCACTAAAAAAACAGGGCAGTAGGTTTGAAGAAAGCAAGTTTGGCAGGGGTTAATACAGCAAGAATAACCGAAACCAAAAACAAAGAACCCCTACCACTGCCAGATTTCAGGAAAGGGCACACCTGTTATCCTGTCCCACACAAATCCACTTTCTAAGGCCACATAATGAATGCAGTTTGATATCACTTTATCTGTCATGGTTCAATGCTGTGGACTTCTGGGATTTGAAGTTTGGTGAGACACCAAATGAGAAAGTGAAACATGTTGTAAAACTACAACTCTCAAGATTTCATAGCATTGTGTCATGGCAGATAAAATGGTGGCAAGTTGGATTAATTTGTGGATGCACCCTAAGTGTGTGCTGAAGAAGTCCAATTATTATCCTTGAAGAGAACTTTGAACTCTTGAACCAACAAAATCACAGGTGAGAATATAGTCTTGTTTACTCAGTAAAAATGGGAAACATGGAAAAACAGAGAAAAAGTTAACAGACATTTTGATTCTTTCTCTCTATATTGAAGTGAATTAGCAGATTCTGAAATAAAGAGATACTGTTTACAAGCAACTCTCCTGTTTCCTAGGAGAGAAATGCATTGTGCAAGAATGATTTACCCCCTGTTCCTGCAAAAAAAAGGTTCTTTAATGCTCCCTGATCTAGCTGATGGGCTCTGAAAAACTGTAGATGACTCTATCACACTGATATTTAAGAATTCCATGAAGGTAATTGAACTGGGTAAAATAGAAAGGACATGGGAGCCTAGCTTCTAGACAAGGAAGAAAAAAAAACCAACTTCCTCAACAGCATGGTTTGCTCCAGCATCTTAGGGAGAAGGTAATTAAAAAATAATAATTATGTATTTCCAAACTGCCTGGGGAGATGGTTTTTCTTCCCCTGTGGGTACAAGGCAATATGGGGAACCAGGTTTTTGCACGTGTGCATGCCTTCAAAGACATTATTGCACACAGCTGGTAGCATGGATTTGAAAGTCCCCAGCCATTAAGAGAAACACTTACTATTCCATGATGCTGTTGAGGGATACTTTTCAGAAAACAGAGAACTCCTATTTTTAGCCAGCTGAAAATGCTTTGAAGCTATGTTTGAAGTGTTTTCAGGTAATGTGGTAATGCAAAAGTGCTCCAGCAGTGAGTCTGGGGACTGTGCTGGATCACTGAGGCATGTTGGAGTGTGTGTCACTTTGAACTTTGCTAACGTTCTTTTGCCAATATTCCAAAAATAAATTGGAGACAAACTGCTGCAAACTCCACCCTGAGTGGGCTTGGCAATGAGAAGTAGACCTCCCCCTTTACAAAATACAGAAATCAGGGAATGGCTTTTAATTCCAAAATGCCTATTTCCTTTTTTATTTATATTTAAAGTGTTCAGTGGGACAGTACCTGTAAAGTATTTATTTGCCCTTGACTCGCACAGATTTTGAACTCACTGAGTAGCGCAATTTTTCAAAAAAATCAAGAGGGGAGGAAATAGATAACTGAGGCAATGCATGGATTAGGAGGATACAAGTTCCAGAAGATGTAGCAAACTAAAAAAAATGCTCCACCTCAAAGCTACTGTGGTTTGCAATGACAGATAATGTTCCAAGTTGCTTACTGACTTAAAGCAACCCCATGAATTTCATATGTTTTTCTTAGCAAGGAATACAGTATGAACCCTGTATCCATGGAATTGATGTATATATGTGGGCCCTCCTATCTGTAGGTTCATTTATTTACTTAAAGCCTCCTATATAAGTCACTTCCTTTTCTCAGTACCTCCATAGGGTTTGCTCCAGTAATGTCTCTGCCAAAACATATATGGGTTGTGCTGTACTTAGATGGGGCTTTGGTTTTTAACAGGCAAATAAATTGTTTAGGCTTATTTTACAAAGTTGAATATTGTGATTATTTCTCAGAAAGCATGGTCCATTCATAGAATCATAGAGTTGGAAGAGACCTTGTGGGCCATCCACTCCAACCTCCTGCCAAGAAGCAGGAAAATCACATTCAAAGCACCCCCGACAGATAGCCATCCAGCCTCTGTTTAAAAGCCTCTAAAGAAGGAGTCTCCACCACACTCCAGGGCAGAGAGTTCCACTGCTGAACAGCTCTCACAGTTAGGAAGCTCTTCCTAATGTTCAGGTAAAGTCTCCTTTCCTGTAGTTTGAAGTCACTATTCATCTCATTATAATGTCTGGGAAAGATGGTGTATGGGATGATGTATGGGAAGGGGGTTGCACAGGATAAGCTCATGGTCAAAATAACAGAGTCTTCATTCATTTTCAGGGAGGATGCTTGGCTGTTTTTCCGGACCAGAGGAGTGACACCTATAAAAAAGAAAACCAGATGGACGTTCCAAGGACTCCTCTGATCCGTTTAAAGGTTAACTCTTTTCTTCTCCTTGAAAAAAGATAGGCATGTGAAGATTGAAAGAGTTGAAGGCCACAAAACCAGTCTGAGGTACTACAAGCTGGTCAGCACTTTTCCTGTGCTGGATTCTAAAATTTAGAATTTAACTAATCAAGAAGCAATAAATCAATTTTGGAGTGCACTAATGAAATGACAAATTCTGTCAAGACAACCCTATGATACATTTTCCTTAGTGTCGCCTTATGTTGGAAACAACTTGAAGGCACACAACAAATGAAATACACCACCAATTTTTATCTTGAGGAAGCAACACATTGTCTGACAGGTCAGAAGTCTGGGGGAACTCTAGTTACGATGGCATTTCCAAACAAGATAAAATAAACTGTAGGAGTAAATGAAAGGGAAGCATTGAAGGTAGTTAAGAATGTGGTTTCAAAGTATTTCCTTATTTGAATCTGGTCACCATATAAATGGCTTTAAACAAATGGGAGGAAGGAGAAAAAAGAATGTAGCACCAACTGCAATGGCATCTTATTCCTCTCAAACACATTGAAGCTGAAAGCCTACCTTTCAAACTATAAGTTTGGAAACAAGGTAAGGTCTGTATGCCAACACACAAATTCTTACTATACACAAAGGGTATGCTTACAGCTTTTCTATACAGCACTGATGTGCCTACCAGAAATTAATAATTTCAAGACAACTCTATTAGAATCTAGAATAAATATCACCCTTCTTCGTATTCAACCACATCCTTGTGAAAATATGGGGAAAATCATGAAAGTTTTAAAATTGGAAATCTACAGTGGGATCTCCATTAAACCATTACTAAAACAAATCTGCTCTTTCTTTTACCTTAGGGAACACCTCTGTAAGAACCTATTGAAATAACTTCCAGAGGAAGTTGACCAACATTACCCTAAAGGACCTAGAGATTCCTAAAAAGAACACATCAATTAAGGATTCATTAATTAAGAATTTGAGGATCGGGACATCCGTAGGGATACCAAGGTGCTTATTTATAAAACTATTGTTCTCCCAACCCGGTTATATGCCTGTGAAATGTGGACTGTCTACACACTCAACTCAAGGAACAATTCCATCAGTGTTGTCTCTGAAAAATCCTGAACAGGTCCTGGACAGGAAAAGAGATTTAAAGATGAGCTTAAAGCCAACCTTAAAAACTGTGGAATAGACGCAAGAACTGGGAAGGCCTGGCCCTTGAGAGCTCCAACTGGAGGTCGGCTGTGATCAGAAGTGCTGTGGAATTTGAAGAAGGATGAATGGAGGGCAAAAGGGAGAAATGTGCCAAGAGGAAGGCATGTAAAGTCAACCCTGACCAGGACTGTCTTCCATTTGGAAACCAATGCCCTCGCTATGGAAGAACATGCAGGTCAAGAATAGGGCTCCACAGTAACCTACGTATCCATTGCCAAGACACTACACTTGAAAGACCATCATACTCTGACAACGAGGGGTTGCCTAAGTAAGTAAGTATTAAATCCACAAATAATCAAATCCACAGGTCAAACGTGTAAATATGTAGAATCAACTATAATACCTCTAGCATATGTACACAGTGTGTGTGAAGACATAAAATATGAATTTTGTTCTGGCCAAAACAAAAAACAAAAAAAAAACCCGCAAGCAGACAAAAAAAGTAATGAAATATAGTAAATGGACACCCTTAACAGACCTCAGAACTGTAGTTGGGTGTTGTAACATTTGACTGTTATTGTCCTTCTGTTGCAAAGCCTCAATCATGTCGTTAGCAGTTCTAAACTTCAAAATATCGAAACAACCTTTTACTCTTATATACTCCACAGTTACTTTCAAACTTCCATTCCAAAGTTCAAATTCCACATGAACAAGGAAGAGTTTGGGTCGGGGCTTAGCCTCTCATGCAAAGGACTGCAAATCCAGGGCTCCAAAAGTTGGCCCATGCATGGTTTTGAATATGAACCCTCAATCTATATGTAGGAAATTCATTACATGCATGCACAACCTCTCAAGAAGCAATTCTCAAACTTGGCTCCTTAGATAGTTGGGCTACAATTTGAAATTTTAATTCTGGGAAGTGAAATCCAACTTCTGGAAATCCAAATTTGGGGGCCACTAATTCAAAGGATTGGCACCTTGTATTATTTATTTATTTCAGAGTTTTATATACCGACCTTCTCACCTCTTCTGAGTCCCTCAAAAGAGGTGAGAAGGTCGGTATATAAAACTCTGAAATAAATAAATAAATATTATATTTAATTTTTGCTGAATTCAGGCATCCTCAAACTGCGGCTGCTTGGGCCTTCAACTCCCAGAATTCCTGACAATTGAACAAGCTCGTTAGGGCTTCTGGGAGTTGGAGGCCCGCAGTTTGAGGATGCCTGGCTTAATTAAATTCTTGTCCAAATTCTTTATGTTGAATGTCAAATAATATTGATTACTTGTTTATCCATTTTGGTTAAACATTACCAAGGTGTGAGTGTTCTCTTGGGCTATCATTACAAAAAAGCTCAAAGCAGCTTGAGCGGGGTGAGCTCCCACCTGTCAGCTCCAGCTTCTCATGTGGGGACATGAGAGAAGCTTCCCACAGGATGGTAAAATATCCAGGCGTCGCCTGGGCAATGTCCTTGTAGACAGCCAATTATCTCTCACCAGAAATGACTTGCAGATTCTCAAGTCGCTCCTGACACGAAGGAAAAACAAAACAAAACAAGATGGGCAGCTGATGATTAATTATAACTTGTTTTCTGAAAGATTTCAGACGTAATGCAACCTAATTTCCCTTCCTATATATACTGCATATGATGGTATACTATTGGGCCCTTGACTGGGGAAAGGAGGGGGATAAACCATTGCCTTGGGGGACTCAGAAGTGTATGGAGGCCCCTCCGCCCTGGCCCTTGAAGCGGCCTTTCCCCGGCGCCCTGAACTGACCCAGCAGCAGTAGAGGAGGCAGTGGACGCTGACGCTCCAGAGGCCGGCCAGGGCGGTGAGCAGGTGGGCGGCCCCGATGGCGGCGAGGGCCAGGAGGGCGGCTTCGGGGGTCTCGGAGCCGGGGCTGGCCCCCCAGGCCCACGCGCATGCGCAGCGCCCCCAGAGCCACAGCCACAACGGGTACAGCACGCAGAAGGGCAGCACCGTCCCCCACAGTAGCCGGGACCGGCGGCGGTACGGGACCACCTCCTGGACGAGCTCGTCCCCGGGCCCCAAACCCGACGCCGACGCCGCCATCCTGACGCCGGCTCGCTCTCTCCGCGCCGCTTCCACTTCTGCCTCAGGAAGCGGCCGTTGAGTTCCCTTCGCGCATGCTCCCTCCCGTCGCTTCCCAGCCGCGCCTGCGCAAACCAGCTTCCGGGTCGAACTCCCGCGTGTCTCACCGCCACGGGGTGGAGAGACTCTGACACGCGCATGCGCACAAAGCGGACTCCGCGCCTCTGGTGTCATGGCTGCGGTTGCGTGGAGCCCTACTGAGCATGCGTAGAGGAGTCAGCCCATGTGGTCGTGAAGGCGCATGCGTTGCCGGCAGAGGGGAAGAAGGGACTGAGTTTGTCCTTCAAGGATCAGCATGTGAGTGTGCGCTCTTTCGGTTTTCCCCACGCAAACGAGGGATCCCCGCTCCTCCTTCATTCTCTGATTTAGTGTGTCGGATAGGACGCGGAACAATGGCTTCAAACTACAAGAAAGGAGATTCCATCTGAACATTAGGAAGAACTTCCTGACTGTGAGAGCTGTTCAGCAGTGGAACTCTCTGCCCAGGAGTGTGGTAGAGGCCCCTTCTTTGGAAGCTTTTAAGCAGAGGCTGGATGGCCATCTGTTGGCAGTGCTTTGAATGCAGTTTTCCTGCTTCTTGGCAGAATGGGGTTGGATCGGATGGCCCATGAGGTCTCTTCCAACTCTATCATTCTATAGAAAAAGCCCAGCAGGATCCAAGCCAAAACCTTTATAGCAGGCATGGGCAGACTTCAGCCCTCCAGATGTTTTGGACTTCAACTCCCACAATTCCTAACAGCCGCTGTTAGGAATTGTGGGAGTTGAAGTCCAAAACACTTAGAAGGCCGGTTTGCCCATGCCTGCTCTATAGTCCAGTATCCTCTGGACTAAATCTCCTAGCCTCCAGATTTTTGGACCCCAGCTCCCAGAAGCCCCGGCTGGCTGGTCCAATGCTCAGGAATTCTGGGAGCTGAAGTGCAACACACCTGGCGGGCCAGAAGTTGGGAACCACGCTCCACAAGCTGGGCCTGAGGAGGGTAACTCTGTCTGGATCTACACTGCCCTGTATCCCAGGGTCTGAGCCCAGGTTGCCTCCTTATCCCTGATTATCTGGCAGTATAGATTCATATTCTCCTGTTCAAAGCTGATAATCAGGGATCAGATCCTGGGATCCTTAGGGGCAAGTGACCATGTGCTCCTGCAATTTGAGGTACAAAGGAAGGCAGAAACCAAGACAAGTCAAACCCGCATTTTGGACTTTAGGAGAGCTGATTTCCAAAAAATGAAGGAAACGCTGAGCAGCATTCCGTGGACACAGATACTAAAAGACAAGGAGTTACAGGTGGAATTTCTCAAGAGTGAAATACTCAAGGCGCAATTGCAAACTGTGCCAACAAAGAGAAAAAAATAGGACAAGTGCAAAGAAGCCAGAATGGATGTCCAAAGAACTTCTAACTGTGCTAAGACACAAAAGAGACATGCACAAGAAGTGGAAAAAGAGAGAAATCACCAAAGAAGAATTCAAACAAATAGCCAACACCTGTAGGGAAAAGGTCCGCAAGGCTAAAGCACAAAACGAGCTCAGGCTTGCCAGGGACATTAAAAACAATAAAAAGGCTTCTATTCTTATGTCAGTAGAAAAAGGAAAAACAAGGAGGCGATAGGGCCTCTTCGAGGAGAAGATGGGGCAATGCTGACAGGGATAGGGAAAAGGCAGAACTACTTAATGCCTTCTTTGCCTCGGTCTTCTCACAAAAAGAAAGTCATCTTCAACCTCAGCAAGATGGAGTGGATGAGGGATTTGGAGGACATCCAACCCCAAATTGGGAAAGAAGTCGTCCAGGAATACCTGGCCGCTCTTAATGAGTTCAAGTCCCCAGGGCCAGATCAACTACACCCCGAGTATTGAAGGAACTAGCGGAAGTCATTTCGGAACCATTGGCAACCATCTTTGAGAGTTCTTGGAGAACGGGAGAAGTTCCAGCAGATTGGAGGAGGGCCAATGTGGTCCCAATCTTCAAGAAGGGAAAAAAGGATGACCCAAGCAACTACCGTCCGGTCAGCCTCACGTCGATACCGGGCAAGATTCTGGAAAAGATTGTTAAGGAAGCGGTCTGCAAACACTTAGAAACAAATGCAGTCATCGCTAATAGTCAACATGGATTTATCAAAAACAAGTCATGCCAGACTAATCTGATCTCTTTCTTCGATAGAGCTACAAGCTGGGTAGATGCGGGGAATGCCGTGGATGTAGCGTACCTGGATTTCAGTAAGGCCTTCGACAAGGTCCCCCATGACCTTCTGGCTAGGAAACTAGTCCAATGTGGGCTAGGCAAAACTACGGTGAGGTGGATCTGTAATTGGTTAAGTGGACGAACACAGAGAGTGCTCACTAATGCTTCCTCTTCATCTTGGAAAGAAGTGACAAGTGGAGTGCCGCAGGGTTCCGTCCTGGGCCCGGTCCTGTTCAACATCTTTATTAATGACTTAGATGAAGGGTTAGAAGGCATGATCATCAAGCTTGCAGACGACACCAAATTGGAGGGATAGCCAATACTCCAGAGGACAGGAGCAGAATTCAAAACGATCTTGACAGATTAGAGAGATGGGCCAAAACTAACAAAATGAAGTTCAACAGTGACAAATGCAAGATACTCCACTTTGGCAGAAAAAATGAAATGCAAAGATACATAATGGGGGACGCCTGGCTCGAGAGCAGTACGTGTGAAAAAGATCTTGGAGTCCTCGTGGACAACAAGTTAAACATGAGCCAACAATGTGATGTGGCGGCAAAAAAAGCCAATGGGATTTTGGCCTGCATCAATAGGAGCATAGTGTCTAGATCTAGGGAAGTCATGCTACCCCTCTATTCTGCCTTGGTTAGACCACACCTGGAATATTGTGTCCAATTCTGGGCACCACAATTCAAGAGAGATATTGAGAAGCTGGAATGTGTCCAGAGGAGGGCGACTAAAATGATCAAGGGTCTGGAGAACAAGCCCTATGAGGAGCGGCTTAAGGAGCTGGGCATGTTTAGCCTGAAGAAGAGAAGGCTGAGAGGAGATATGATAGCCATGTATAAATATGTGAGAGGAAGCCACAGGGAGGAGGGAGCACGCTTGTTTTCTGCTTCCTTGGAGACTAGGACGCGGAACAATGGCTTCAAACTACAAGAGGAGATTCCATCTGAACATGAGGAAGAACTTCCTGACTGTGAGAGCCGTTCAGCAGTGGAACTCTCTGCCCCGGAGTGTGGTGGAGGCTCCTTCTTTGGAGAGCCGTTCAGCAGTGGAACTCTCTGTCAGGGGTGCTTTGAATGCAATATTCCTGCTTTTTGGCAGAATGGGGTTGGACTGGATGGCCCATGAGGTCTCTTCCAGCTCTTTGATTCTATGATTCTATGATATAGGACAGTGCAGATCCAGACTCAGAGTACATCTACAATTATGCCCATTGAGCCAACGGCAAGCAAAGGTGTCACTGTCTCAGTTCTGAATTTTGGAGGATTTGTTATTCAGGAATTCTGGATCAAAGATGCTTAAGCTGTATCTGTTTGTCAGTTTGCCAGCTGCCCTTGCAGTTTGCCTTTCTTTGGAGAGACGTGCATGGCTTCCTTCCAACCCACTTCATCCTCAAAACAACCTTATGAGGTAGGTCAGGTTGAGAGAGGAGATGTGGCCCAAGGTTGCAAATTTCATACTGTTGACTGTACCCTGTTACCAGTGTTTGTCCTAAGTGTCCCTCTTGCGTCTTCTGCTTGTAGCCCTGGGTTCTTAAAAGAGGGGCAGAAAAGTTTCCCCCTGTCATTTTTTTTGTGCTTTCATAAATTCGAGAGCCATTCATAAAGTCAGTGATTAAGAAAATCCTCCTGAGGTTATACAGAATGCCTCTGGCTTTTTGTGTCTGCATATCTCAAAAGGTAAAGATAAAGGTAAATGTAAAGATTTCCCCATGACATTAAATCTTGTGGAGTCTGACTCTGGGTGGTGGTGCTCATCTCCATTTCTAAGCCAAAGAACTGGTTATGTGGCTGGCATGACTGCATGAAACACTGTTACCTTCTTGCAGAAGCGGTGCCTATTGATCTACTCACAACTGCATGTTTTTGAAATAATAATAATAATAATAAACTTTATTTATACCTCGCCACCATGTCCCCGATGGGGACTCGGAGCAGCTTACATGGGGCCAAACCCAAACAACATATTACATCAAAATAAGACCAAAACATAAACAACAAACAACATAATCAAAATTACATTAAAAAATATAGGTTGGCAGAAGCTGGGCCTAGCAGCGGGAGCTCACCCCGCTCCCTGGATTCGAACCGCCAACCTTTTGGTCAGCAAGTTCAGCAGTTTAACCTGCTGTGCCACTAGGGGCCTCTGAATGTAGACTCCAATAATTATTTCACACCTTCTCAGCCCCAGAAAACCCTATGAAAGGTTTTTTTTAGGGTAGCCATCAGTCAGAAAGAACTTCAAGGCACACAACAACAACAACAACAAGGACTAAAATAGTATTAGGTATTGTGTATGTGGGTGTCAGTCTGTTAAGTAATTAATGTCCCCAGCTGCTCCCCTTCCTAAATTGCAGGACCTAAAGATGGTAGTGCATGTGCTGCTCACCTCAAGGCTGTACTTCTGCAATGTGCTGTACATTGGCTTATCTCTGTACCAAATTTGGAAACTCCAGTTATATATAGTACTATATACTTTTTATAATGACTTTTTGTATGTTTTTATGTTGGTAATTGCAATGCTTTACCATGCTGGAAACCGCCCTGAATCCCCTCGGGGAGATAGAGCAGTTTACAAATAAAGGTTTATTATTATTGTTATTATTCCATCAAATTTCTACAGCATTTTGTCTGTTGTCCCACACATTTTTGCTTCTTTTCTTCAATAACAGCACCCTGTCTCCATCCCAACAGGCAGGCGGCTCTGGAGGTGACTGCACGGCATTGCCGCAAAGAATCAGAGGCGTATGGCCAGTGTGTCGCCACCAACCCTTCCTCCTGGCAGCAGGACTGTCACCAGCTCAAAGTAGAAATGGCCAAGTGCACCTCTTCCCAGTAAGTTTCCTAAAGGAAAAGTACAATTTAGCAAGAATCAAGGTCCTAAATGTAGGATAAACATGACTCTCCCTCCCTCCTTATGAGAGTATGTAGTGTCTAAGCATTGGATTAGGATTCTAGAACAGGGTTCAAATTTCTATTCAGCCTGGCAACCCACTGGGTGAGCTTGGGCAAGTCACGCTTTCAGCCTCAAGAGGAAAGCAAAGGCAAACCCACTTTGAACTAATCTTGCCATCCTAGAGACTTAGGATGATCTTTGAGAGAAGGGTCTGTGGTAGAATAGATAAAATGAATTTCGGCTAAGAAGTTAATTATCATATTTTATATTTCTTGAATATCTGAACTATATTTGTGATCTCAGCCTTGCAATTAAATTTATTATTATTATTATTATTATTATTATTATTATTATTATGTACTACATTTATATCCTGCTCTTCTCACCCCAGAAGAGGAGCTCAGAGTGGCCTTACAAAAAGGCAGCAGTTTGATGCCACGCACAAACATACATGCAGTAAAAATAGATATATACATTAAAACTAAAAATAAGCAGAAATATTAAAACAGTTATTACTCTTAAATTATTAAATACTCTCATACCTATTTTACAGATAAGACAAGCCCAAGAGATTCAAAATACAAGCAGCCCCTGAGTTACAAATATCCAAGGGAAATCCACTCCTGGATGAGTTATCATAGGGAAATGGTGTCTCCACTGAAGCTTTCTCACCAATCCAATTATTTAAGATCCAATTCTCACAGGGACAGAATGTGAGGTGAAATCTTGTTTGTTGTTGTCTTTGTCTATTGCTTATGTTGTTTTCTGTATCTGTGGATTATTGTAAGCCACACCAAGTCCCTTAGGGGAGAGGGGGAGGGGTATAATAAAGATGATGATGATGATGATGATGATTATTATTATTACAATAGAAGCGCATTGGAGCCCCCAGTGGCACAGTGGGTTAAACCCTTGTGCGGGCAGGACTGAAGCCTGAGAGGTCACAGGTTCAAATCTGGGGAGAATGTGGATGAGTTCCCTCTGTCAGCTCCAGTTCCTGGTTTGGGGACATAAGAGAAGTCTCCCACAAGGATGGTAAAACATCAAAACATCCGGGCGTCCCCTGGGCAATGTCTTTGCAGATGGCAAATTCTCTCACACTAGAAGTGACTTCTTGCAGTTTCTCAAGTCGCTCCTGACAAAAAACCCCCCAATAACAACAACAACAAAAACAGAGGTGCAGACAGTCAAACAAACACTACAGCGGTGTGAACCCTTCCATATACTATCAAAAGCTTTTATATATGGCTGGAGTTACACTTAAGAAACATACCTGTTCTGACTTACATATAAATTCAACTTAAGAACAAACCTACAGAACCTATCTTGTTCATAACTTGGGGGCTGCCTGTATGAGCTCTGGCTCTACCAGTCCCTGCCCCTTCTCTTTTTACATACGTGTTTGGTTTTGTTGCAGCCCAATTGTACAGAAGATTCGTCAGGATTGTGCAGAGCCATTTACTGCTTTTGAACAGTGCCTTAAACTAAACCAGACGTCCGTGGTCAACTGCACAGAACATGTCCAGCAGTTCTTACTCTGTGCTGACAAAGTGAAACTGGCCGCCTAAGGTTGGTGCCTTGCAGTACTCAACTGTGCATTTGCATGCTTATGAGGGGTGTGTGTCTACACATGGGTGCTCATCTAAAGAGAATGGGATGTTTTGAAATGAAGCGTGAGATGATATTTTCGCTGTTTAGCTGCTTCTCTTGCCAAGCTGTCATAATGGCGTGGAATGTTCCTCAGTGTTCTGCCAAGAAGAAGGGGTCCGTGGAGGAATGCTGAAGGTCTGTGTGAAAATAGCAGGGGCAGTTTTACTTCAAGGAAATGACAAATGTGTGTTACGTCATTTGGGGATTCATGAGAGGGAGAGCAGCTGAAGATTATGATTGTAAGTTGATGGCAGCAAAGCTAGAAACTTTTTCAAGTTTGTGGTTAAGACAGATTGTGTAATCTTAATGGATAAGGAAGAGGAGACTTAAGAGGGTATGTTTCTTGGCAAGGGTTGGACTGGATGGCCCATGAGATCTCTTCCAACTCTATGATTCTATGTAACACTTTAGTTTTCAGTGTCTCTATTTCTTACATTTTCAGAGAGAGTTAAAATGACCATTCATTTTTGTAGAGTGGAGTTCATAGGACACTAACTTAAATCAGAATCAACAAAGGATCTTGTGGCACTTTCAGAACTGACACATTTGTTATAGCATGGCCTCTTGGGCTATAGATTATTTCATCTAATGCATGTAATGTTACCCAAAATTTCAGATGTAGATACAATAGATATTGCAAGGATAATTGTAGACAATGAGATTCAAGGAGGATTAAATGCAGCAGCATTGACAATGAAAATGATATTACGGTTGAGTATCCCTTATCTGAAATGCTTGGGTCCAGTAGTATTTTGGACTTGAGATTTCTTTTTTGATTTTGAAAGATCTGTATTTGCATATACACACATATTGAAATATATAGCAGATGGCACCCAAGTCTAAACACAAAATGCATTTGCTTCATATACACCTTATATTCATTGCCTGAAAGTAATTTTTACATAACAATTGTAATAGTTTTGTGCACAGAACAAAGCCCGTATAAGGAACTATTAGAATACAAAGATGCCACTGTCTCAGTCACCAACGTGAATGATTTCTGCTGTTGTATTATTTCAGATTTCAGAATTCTGAATAAGGGATGTGCAGCCTGTGTTTATATTATCCAGTCACAAGATTGTTATGAAGGACACAAACACCTTACTGCTACATCAGGCAGTTAAGCTGTGCAAGCTGCAATCCAATGTCCCCCCAGCATAGTGTAAATATCTGCATGCAGGCTTAAGTTACACTGAGCCATATACCCCTCCCCGACTTGAAGCCCCTGAAGCCACAGCCATTAAGACCAGAGAAGTATCTGATTGCATTCCCATAACTAGGCAAAAAATGATGGCACCAGTGCTGAAATTTGCAGTAATAGTTGTATTTCTGGTTATGGAGACATGGCCATACGCATATCCAGTCCTGCATTTTCTGAAGTACAGAATGGCTGCGGAGGGTGGCTGCAGGAGTTGTTGGGTGCTGTGGAGAAAGGAAGAAAATATCAAACCATGCAGCACCCTGTATGGTCCCCCTGGTGGCAAAGCAGGTTAAACCGCTGAACTGCTGAACTTGCTGACAAAAGGTTGGTGGTTCAAATCCAGGGATCCCGCAGTTAATCCCAGCTTCTGCCAACCTAGCAGTTTGAAAATATGCAAATGTGAGTAGATCAATAGGTACCCCTTCTGTGGGAAGGTAACAGCGCGTCATGCTGTCATGCTGGCCACATGGCCTTGGAGGTGTCTATGGACAATGTCAGCTCTTTGGCTTTGAAAGGGAGATGAGCACCACCCTGCAGAGTTAGACACAACTAGACTTATTGTCAGGGGAAACCTTTACCTTTATCTTACGGCACCCAAAGGGGAGATCTGCTGCACAGAGAACATTATACATGTAAAGGAATTCTGGCTGCAATGTGATAAAGTACTGAGAGTGCTAAATAAAATGTTGAAAATGTAATATTTTGAAATACCCTTCAAATCTATTCTTCATTTTCTCTCCCCCCCCCTCCCCCAGGCATCCCATCCCATCCCTTTTTTCATAGGTCAAAACAGTGGTATCATCTTCAGGAGTAATCTAGTTACTCACTGTAGTTCTGACTGGACTGAATGTTTCTGCCAAGAATGGCAGCAATAGCACCTACATCCTCAAAACCCTGTTTGGTGACAGAAATCTTTCCTGGACCTGGGTGTTATTTGATCATCAGTGGTTGTCCCAACAGTGTCTCTGCTTGGCATGTCAAATTACGACTTCTCTTGAGGAACAAGTCACAGAAGCTGCATTGGCATGGCATTGGGATCATAACTTTGCCTGCAAAGCTAGAACTGGCTCTTGGAACCCATTGTATGTATTTTACTATACCTGCCTGGAACCCACCCAGACATGACACAATAAACTGCAAATCAAAGACCAAAGCAAATTTTTCATTTTGTTTTAATTTTTTTGTAACAGTTACATTTGCACACAGGATTTTGTAGTGTTAATTGTATTTATAGTAAAAGTCTTAAGTCGGTTTCAGAATGATTCAGTTGCATTTTGAAAAAAAGGGTTCATAAACTAAAGCATGAAAAAGCAGGCTTCCTTCTTATGGCTCATGCTTGCAAAAACTGTGGTGCCTGGACCGTTCCTCTTGCGCCGTCACACCCAGACACTCTAGCGTTGGAACTATGATGTGCTTCTTTCTTTAGCGGGGGCCTTACTTTGAAGCTCAGGAATCCCAGCAACTCAGGCCAAGATTTTTATTTTCACAAAGTCCTTGACAGGCTTGGCACAAATTGTTGAGGTTACAAATACAAACAGTCAACTTATAAAATCATGTGGATGTTTCCTTCTTACTTTTCCCTTCAGTTGCTGGGTTAACTTCTTCCAATGGTGGAGAAATCCTGGGATTCTCTACCCTAGCCCTGAGTTGCTATATTAGAAAGAGGAGGTCTTTCCCTATCTAAGCTCAAAGCTAGCTTGGAGACGAAGTAAAGCTCCTTCCAGTGGCAGAGAAATCCTGAGATATTATCTGCCCTAGTGCTGAGTTGCTATTTTAGAAAGAACAAGTCTTTCCCTATCTAAACTCAGAACTAGTTTTAAAGGCAAGAGATTAGAACTTACGATGGCTTGTCTGAGCTGGCCTGGCTTTACCACAAGCACATCTGAAACTTTTGCTATTCTGAAGAAGGCAGAAGAGCTTTTCAAAAATGGAGATTTCATCCCCAGGGAAAAGGGGCGGCCTCAAGATCAAAAAGATACTTTTGCAAGCCAACAGCAACAAAGGCTTTGCAGGCTGACTTCAAGCCTCTGTTAATGGTTAACTATCAGGGTGTTGCTAAGTCTGTAACAACCCTGGAAGAAATGCAAATCAAACTCCTAGGAGACGGAACACCTCTAGTCCAGTGGTTCCCAACCTTTTTTTGACCAGGGCCCACTCTCCAACATTAGTACCAAAGCGGTTACAAATCGGTTTTTGGTCAACTTTTGGTTTGGTTATTTGGGGTGCTGATTCAGAAAATTGCACTGGATATACATCCGCTCTAATTTCTGATACAGAACATATGCTACCCAGTAGTTGCCATCTGCTTGCCCACAAAAACAATATTTAATAAGCCTCGGCACTAAAAGAGGGTTTCACGAGATCAGTTATTCGTGTTGCAGCCGTGTAGCCATGGTGAGGATGCAGACTATATTTTAGTTCTTGTAGACCACTGGTGGTCCATGGACCACTGCTCTAGTCTAGACAAGAAAAATAATTTAAGAATCCCTTTTAAAGGGAAAACACAAGAATGGCCATCAGACTGGAAAAAATCAACTTATATCCCCATACCAAAAAAGGGAAATGCGAAAGACTGCTCAAACTTCCATACAGTGGCCCTTATTTCTCATGCCAGTAAGGTAATGCTCAAGATCCTGCAAGGAATACTCCAGCAATACATGGAGCGAGAGTTGCCAGATGTTCAAGCTGGGTTTAGAAAAGGCAGAGGAACGAGAGACCAGATTGCCAATATCCGCTGGATAATGGAGAAAGGCAGGGAGTTTCAGAAAAACATCTACTTCTGCTTCATTGACTATTCTAAAGCCTTTGACTGTGTGGATCATCATAAATGGTGGCAAGTTCTTGGTGGGATGGGCATCCCAAGCCCCCTTCCCTCTCTCCTGAGGAATCTGTACAAGGACCAAGTAGCAACAGTCAGAACTGACCACGGAACAACAGACTGGTTCAAGATTGGGAAAGGCGTACGGCAAGGCTGCATCCTCTCACCCAACCTTTTTAACTTGTATGCAGAACACATCATGCAATGTGCGGGGCTGGATGAATGCAAAGCTGGGGTGAAAATTGCTGGAAGAAACATTAACAACCTCAGATATGCAGATGACACCACTCTGATGGCCGAAAGCGAGGAGGAGCTGAGGAGCCTTCTAATCAAGGTGAAAGAAGAAAGCGCAAAAGCCGGGTTGCAGCTAAACGTCAAAAAAACCAAGATTATGGCAACAAGAATTATTGACAACTGGAAAATAGAGGGAGAAACCGTGGAGGCCGTGACAGACTTTGTATTTCTAGGTGCAAAGATTGCTGCAGATGCAGACTGTAGCCAGGAAATCAGAAGACGCTTACTTCTTGGGAGGAGAGCAATGTCCAGTCTCGATAAAATAGTAAAGAGTAGAGACATCAGACTGGCAACAAAGATCCGCCTAGTCGAAGCCATGGTATTCCCTGTAGTAACCTACGGATGTGAGAGCTGGACCTTAGGGAAGGCTGAGCGAAGGAAGATCGATGCTTTTGAGCTGTGGTGCTGGAGGAAAGTTCTGAGAGTGCCTTGGACTGCGAGAAGATCCAACCAGTCCATCCTCCAGGAAATAAAGCCCGACTGCTCATTGGAGGGAAGGATACTAGAGACAAAGTTGAAGTACTTTGGCCACATCATGAGGAGACAGCAAAGCCTAGAGAAGACAATGATGCTGGGGAAAGTGGAAGGCAAAAGGAAGAGGGGCCGACAAAGGACAAGATGGATGGATGGCATCCTTGAAGTGACTGGACTGACCTTGAAGGAGCTGGGGGTGGTGACGGCCGACAGGGAGTTCTGGCATGGGCTGGTCCATGAGGTCACGAAGAGTCGGAGACGACTGAACGAATGAACAACCCTTTTAAAGATCCCATTTGTGGCCACAAGGGGGCAATATGTCAACACTGAGATTTCTCACTGCTCAATTTGGCTTTATGGTCCTCTTGTGAAATGCTGGAAAGGAGAATTATGTAGATGTAGTTACACTTGTGTATTACCTTTGAGTATCCCCATTGTATTCGTTCTGGAACAACACCTTCTAGATTAGCATGGACATGTTCTGGAACCACGAAGCTTGCACTGGCCCATTATTTCTCCTGTTCTGGAACTTTGGGGGACTTACTGGAAGGGAAACATGAGATTCTAGGTTCTTTTTCCCACCTCAGTGGCTATTTCTGTTTTATACTTTGTAGGAATTCAGCACCACTTTTTAGAGGGATAGGGCAGGAAGTGGCTTTTTCTCCTCTTGTCCTTTGGTCATGTTATGTTCCTATTTATAAACTCAGGGATGAGTTCTCATCAGCTGTAACGGTTAATGTACATGAGTATTTTGAACAACTCTACCAGGTTGGTCATTCCAATGGTTCCTGTTTTACAAGCTGTAGTAATCACTCCAAGTATAATTACTGATGTGTCTAAACAGCAGTTACATTCCTGGCTGCATGAGCAGTGTATTGAAAAGCTGGAATTGGGGGAAGATATATATCAGGTAAGCAAGTTTTGAGATTTGTCTGCATTGAGTTGCATTGTTTCCTCTTAAAACCAAAACTTAAAGGATGTTTCAATTTATAATTTTATTTGTAGAACACAGTGTGAGTGAACACAAGGGAGAATTATTCACTAATTCTATTAAAATATAAATTGATTGATGTTTTTGTCCTTTTTTGGGCATTTTTTAGCCTACAAATACAGTACTGCAGGTCAGCCAGATCCTAATGCTTGGCCAGTGTTCGCCCAAAGGGCACAACAGGAAAAAAGGAACAGGCCGAAATAGTCCCTCTTTCTCTCCTGTTATGTACCTTCAAGTCATTTCAGACTTGCGGTGACCCTGGAGCAACACCATTGTCATGAGTTTACATAAAGGTAGAGGTAGTGATACAACCAGTATGATGTAATGGTTTGAGCATTGGATTTCAGCACCAAACTAAAAAAAAGACCGCACTGCCTTTCTGTGCTCACAGCTTTCAATTGAAACATTTTTCGCATCATAGAATAATAGAGTTGGAAGAAACCACATGGGCCATCTAGTCCAACCTCCTGCCATGCAGGAAAAGCACAAAGTTCCCCTAACAGAAGGCCATCCAGCCTCTGTTTAAAAGCTTCCAAGGGAGGAGCTTCTTAGTCAACAAGACCCCTACCTTGGATTGCAAAAGAGGCCATAGACCAGTGGTTCTCAACCTGGAGTCCCCAGATGTTTTTGGTCTACAAGTCCCAGAAATCCCAGCTAGTTTACCAGCTGTTAGGTTTTCTGGGAGTTGAAGGCCAAAAACATCTGGGGGCCCCAGGTTGAGAACTACTGCCATAGACTCAACCTGAGGGAAATTACTTGCTGGTTGACTTTGAGTAGTAGCAAGCTTGATCTGTTCTACCGATTTCAATGGGACACAGGCATAAGAAACAATCTCTGGACAGGGGCCATCTGTGTGTTTGAACATTCTGGAAAACAGCCATTCAGAAAGGGTTTGGCTGCAAGTTGTGGGAAGTTTGGGTTGTTGTTTCACCTCTATTTCCTTCTCGGAATGATCTTGTCTCCCCATGGGAGTTACAAGAGAACTAATTAATTGATATTTCAAATAGGTAGAGGGATAATTGGTTGGGATCGCCATGGAACATGATTTTTTTTTACTTCTCCCGCCTTTTCTTTTTGATTTTCTACTCCCTCAAGTCAAAACCAGTTGAACGTGTTACATCAAGCCATTGCCCCATCAGTTCTTATGGTAGTCTCCTACCAGACAGAACACGTGTGCCAAGCCGGTACAGATTAGAACAGGCAAATCGGCAACCTTGCCTTTAATTCTTCATCCAGAAAAATGTCCTCATTTAACACCCTGTTTCTCACTGGCCGTGGAGAGTGTCCATTAATCAGCCCCATGGCCTTTGGTGTCAGTGGAGGAGGGAATCTCTTTCTTTCTCTCTCTTTGAAAGCGGCAGGGGAAGGGCAAATTCCATTCCATTCCTACACTTTCGAAAGTGAGACTCACTTCTCCATTAGGCACAAGAGAAGGTGGATGCAGGATAGAACAAAAGCTAACCATTTGAAATGTTTCTTAAGGATGCTGTATCAAGTATTTGGGGGCTTCTTGTTGAGTGAAACCTGTCCTAGACCTACCAAGCAGGAGCAGCCAGTGGCAGGGTTGTGTTTAGCTGCAGA